TTCACATACATAAAGAGCTGTGCGAGTTAATGTTATTTTTTCCGTTGATACCGTATGGAAAAGAAGTTTCATATGCGATGACATATTACAACTTTACATTTAACCATCATGTCCACATAGACAAATTTTTAAGATGTTGGTGCGAAAATTGCGAAGATCGACGAAACGTGCTCACGTTATTCAAAACCAACAACTTATGCTCGCTAGACCTACAAGCCACCGACTTTTTAAATCCAAGCGAACTATTCGAAGTACTTAATAAATATCTCGTTTTTTCAGAAGTCGATTTAGTGCTTGTGCTAATTGTTGCTAATTTGTATCTTCTCTTGTCGAAGTCGAAAAAAAATTCATCAGACATTGCCCAGATTGAAAAAATTACAAACTTGATAATTAAAAAAATCGAAAGGCTGGAATTCTATTCTCATAATGGGATAAGTGATCAAGTATTACTATTCATATCAACTTTTACAGACGATTCTATTAGTTTAGTTAAAAATGTGATTTTGGACAGAATATATTCTAGTTGTGAGAATAACGAATTAAATTCAATCATAGAGCTATGGTATCTTTTTTCCTCACTCAGCGACAAAAAGAAAATTGAATCTACCCTTTCTTGTGAAGTAATTTTAAACACACTCAACAAAGTTGTAGAGAAATACAAAGATTCCCAAAATAGCCTCGAACAGTACCTTTTTAATGTGATCCTATGTAACATTATTAGCAAACTGCTCGATATACAAACTTATTTAGCGCTAGACGAAGAGTGCAGAGTGGCATTCATGAACGACAATTATTCTTTCAGCGGCGAAACAACTGAACAACTAAGAAAGTTAAATGATTTGCTAGAGAATTTCCGATGTTCATATGTCAAATCGCAGTGCAAATTAAATAACAGGCTGATAGACTTTTACTTAAAAAAAACATATATTGTCTAAACCATGATTAATCTGAACCGATGCCTACGTATATATCTCGCAGATTTTCTCGTAAATATTTGACACAGTTCGTGACTTTCTTTTCGACATTCGCGAAATCCTTCGAATAGTAGACGAAAACTTTATCGAGATGACTTTTTAGTTGTTCGTCCGTAAAATCACGTGGCAATTCAATATTGCATAAGTCTTTTAAGCTTCCATAATTTTTTAACACATATGGTCTAATTTTTTTTAATATTAATTCATAATTATAGTCAGACTGTAAATGTATAGATTCAAAGTTTCTTTTTGTTTTGATTGCTTGTAATGTCAAAAGCTTTAGTAACTTTAAAACTTCTTCAACTTCGTATCCATATTTTTCTAGAGACATGTATTCTTGCGGTTCGTTGACTTTTGAGACTTTTTTATTATATTGTTCTTTATGATTGATAGGCTTATTAATTTCATGGGGGTCGTTTATTTCTAAAAAATCGCCGTTTTGTAACACTCGTGAAATCGAAAGTAGAGTGCTATCTTTGTTTTTTAGTATCTGCTGATACAATAATTTACTAGCGTTTATTGTAACTTGATCAGTCTTTTCTTTTTCTAAAATTAAGTCAATTACGTTGAGACTTTCTTCATATTTTCCAAGATGGTTTAATAATAAAGCCTGGTAATATCTTATTTTTGTATTTTCAGGATATTTTTCTAAGTATTCTTCACAACTTTGAATTCCTGATTGATACTGTCCAGCTTTGATGCAAGCCAAACTTTTGTTTTTGACAAGACTACAACGACGCTCAAGCATGCGGGCATTTTGCTCGTCGATCAACGAATAAACGTTTTTCAAAATTTCGATACCTTGACTCCAAAGTGTAATTGCTTTTTGATAATCGTTCGCATAGTATGCAATTTTTCCTTCTTCATAGACTTTCTCTAAAAACTGCATCCGCTCGACATATTCAACATCGGTTATGGCGCAATCGGTAACACCCGGCATTTTAGACTGCGAAATGATTTCTCCTCTGGCAAATCTTCTTGAGAGTTCCATTGGCGTTATCAATTTTATGTCAGTTGTCTCATTTAAAGCACATTCCAGGAAAAACGAACTGTGCTTAAAATTTTGAGAGTTGAGTTTTGAGCTTTTATAGCTCGCTCTTACACATGTGGCTAAAAAGCTATGTGCTAAAAAATTAGCATACTTAGTTTGCAAATCTAACAAATACTGGAAATCTGCCATATGAAAAAAAAGAAATGTTAAATGACACACACGATAAAATTAATAGAAATCCATCATCCAAGATCCAAATAGAGATTATGATGATTTTTGGAAAATCAATTCAAATTATTTATTTAATCTAAAAATAATACTCGGAACAATTATCTATTCGAATATGAAAATTAGTCAGGTAGAGTCGAAACCGAGTTTTTACTGATCTAATGACTATTAGAACAAAAGCTTATCACCCTGAAAACGAGAAAAATAGTCAGGAATCACTTCTACTTGAAGAACATAAATCATCGATAGCTGAACTGTTCAACTTAGTTGATCAACAGAATTTACTCGACATACGCGATTTTATTCAGAATAAGTTTCCTAAAGACTTAAGTTTAAGTACGGTCCATAACGATCTTTATCATACAGTTGTCACTCGTGCTATCTTACATGAAAACCCTTACTTATTGCTTTTCTTACTCGGCCTTGGCGCTTCCATTTTGGAACATGATAATCTAAACATATCTCACGGACACCTCGCCAGCTTTAATGGTTCTTTTATGATAATAGCCATTCTTGCTGCGTTTGGCGAAACGTTCATGAGAAAATACGACAGCAAAGGAATGTATCCAATCCACACATTGCTAGTCTTAGAACATTTTGGATGCGCAAAAGCTTTATTACAATTCATGGCACTTAATTCGCATGTAACAGTAAAAGAAATACTAAACTCAGTGATGACTCAAGACGGCTTGTCGTTAGATGAATTCGCTAGTAAATACGAAATCTCGAATTACCGTCAATTCAAAAAAATTTGCGTTTCTTCACCAAAGTCGTCGCTAGGGAATTCACGAACTATTCTGTTATCATTACTACCTACGAAAAATAATTCGTTAAAAACGTCGTACACGAATTTCAAGATGAAGTTACCCAACACAAATCATGTAATTCTACTGTTTTTAGCAACTTTATTTTTGTTTATAATCTCATACACGTGTTCATTTGATTCACTTATGGAGTCCAAGTTTCCATCTGAATACAACAATAATTTCGTCAGACTATTAAAACATTATATTACGTTTACAACTTCTTTGCTTTATCTCAGATATATCAACTTCACACTGTTTGTCTTGTTAGTGATAAATGATTGCAAAACATTGAAGACAAACATGTCAAAACTGAAAAGTGAATTCAAGGTTATTTCTGAAAAGTTGACTGACAGAAAAAATTTAGAATGTTTATACCTTACGAACTATGCAAAGCCAGGTTTGGCTATTTCTGATATTTCATTGTACTCTTATTATAAATTAAAACAGCTTATATATGAAATCAATTTGGATAGACTTTGTTTGTCATGTTGGCGATTTAAACAATACCGATGTAAGCATTGCAGAATTTGCAACATCTGTGTGGAGATGATGGATCATCATTGCATTTGGTTAAATAAATGTATTGGATCGGGAAACCACTTTCTTTTTATTGTCACTATCTACTGTGTCACGATTTACATATTGTTATCCACACTCACTCATTTAAAAGTATTCAGCTTGTTGGTATTTAGAAGGCCGAGCTTCAATTTAAATTTTTCAATCTACTTTTTCATTTCGATTCTGATTTGCATTTTTCAGTATTATTGCTTACACTGGGGGATAGCATTATGTTGCAACCAAGCACGTTTTATTTATAAAAATATACTGTACAACGAGCAATTAAATATAGGCAGGTACCTGTATTTTTCTTTGGTTTACAAACCTGACACAACTGACCCGAACTGCTTTGTTATCGCGAGAAGCACGCCTAAAGTAAACTTTTTGTACAATGAAAAACAAAAAAGAGAATATAAATCACTTGTGCAAATCGATGAGTCCAAAGATGACTATCATTTTAACGAAGAAAAATTGGCGATAATCGAAAAAAATGTCATGAGGAAGATTCGATCCCCTTTTTACTCTGAAGTTGAATCAACTAATTGCAAAACTTTTGTTTATTTTATTAAAAGCTTGTGTTCGTACAAGATAAATTATTTAAATCTACTTGCGCAAGACATGAAACTACTTAAAAAACTTTCTTAATCTTTTACATCGCAATTGCTCCTTGTATTGCACCAAACGTACATATGTCATTAAAAGAAAAGTACGTTCAATCAAAATCACAAAAAGCTTCAAACCTTATATCACAGGATATAGCACGTAATGCGCCGCTGCAAAGCGTTTATCAAGAAAATCCTGAATCATGTTCGAATCTAATACAAAAGCCGAGCCTTGCTTCTTCGACCCTCCGACTCCCATTAGGATCATATTTATGGGATAGTCGTATTGTGAATTCAAAGAACACTAATCATATAATATATGAACCTACAATTGATATAGAAAAATCTCGACTTAAAAAAAATTTACTTAATATATTATGTTGCAGTAATTAATAAAAATAAACGCTGATTTAAAAAATGCATCAGCTGGTTGAACACAATTTTTAAATTTATTTTTAACTGTGAGCGTGTTTTGAATGACCTATTGGCAAAGCTACGAGATCACTGAAAATCACTTCTTTTTGTAGTGGCTTGCATACACCTCTTTCTAATCTAAAACCAGATGGACATTGTAAAACATAAGGTTCAATGCTTGTTCTCATACACTTTCCGTTATTAGACATAGTGAACCCTTTCATACACGTCATTTCAGGCATGAGATAAATAACTTCTTCGCATATAGCATTTCCAACGTCTGTAAATCCTGGAGGGCATTTCACAAGAGGAGGGATGAGTGTTGTTTTGACACAACTATTAGCACTCTTCTTGTAGTTCAGAGGACACGTTTCTACTGGCTTTACAACATTTACGATTAAGCATCTGTTATCCATAGTAAGAATACCTTTTGGACATTTGAAATCAGGGTCTATCATTTCGATTTCATCAGTACATTTGGGAACTTGTTTGGCAACTTTGCTATTAGAAACACAAAGATCGCTATCATTATCATAATGATGGTTTTTAGGACAATGTCTTTGGACTTCTCTTTCAATATGTTTAATGCAAACGTTGTCGTTGAGAGTATACCCTTCTTCACAGCTAACGTTTGGCAATATCTCAGTAGTAGATATGCACTGTCCGTTTTGAGTGATTATACCATTGGAACATTGCAATTTGGGCTGTTCCTGGCGTTTTTGCACACATTCTCCATTTTTCAACATAAAGTTTGGTGGGCATTCAATGACTGGATCAACGTTGTGAATTGTTGTACAAACCGTACCATTTAAAAATGAATTTTTAGGACAATTAATTATGGCGTCTACTTCGGTAACAACACTGCACATCTTATTTTGTAGGGTTCCAGACTCGCAAAATAGTTCTCCACTCACTCTAGAGCTTGTTACGCATTCATTACCTTGAAGTTTGTAATCTCTACCACAATACAATTTAGGGGGTACTTTTTCCCGACGAACACATTCCCTATTTGTATAAGTGTATCCGGGAAGACAATTAATAATTGGTTCACTATGTTCTTCTAATAAGCAAAATTTACCTGAAAGAATAGAATTGTTTGGACAATTCACGTCTTTCGCATTACAAATGGTTTTCTTGATACAACCAGATGGGGTACTAGTGAAACCTTTAGGACATGATTTTGTTATTGGTGTATACTCCTGCTTAACACATTTTGAATTATCAAAAACAAAATTAGTTGACGGACATTCAGCTGTAGCGTCAATTATTTGGACAGTCTCACATGATTTTTTAATCATTTGTGAGTTTAGAGGACAAGTTAACTTGGAGTTCGACCTAGTGATTGATAGACATTGATTGTTTTTCAACGTCGAGTCTCGCATACATTTAGCTATGGGCTTAACGGATTCTACGTGAACACAAGCTACTCCATTATCTGAATACCCTAGCGGACACAACACGTTAGGAGTGATAGTGCTCAAGTAAGTCGATGCTAATACGTTTCCTGCGAAAAGAAAAATATACAGTTGTTTATATTTCATAGATTAAAAACACTTTGACAAACGTGTTTGTCCGTGAATATCAAACATATCTTATCCAACACATAACAACAATCATTAATTGGGCCTGGTCCGTGTTTTATTGCAGGACAGTTTTTAATAGCATATTTTTTTTTTTATTCAAATATGGGCGTTCGAAGAGTCAAGAGAAAACCGCTTTCTGAAAAAAAATCCTCAATCATTAAACTATCAAAATTAGCTTCTGAACAAGATGATATTTTTTTAAAGGTACGAAAATGACTAACAACAATTTTATTAGAAAGCTCTTAGAGAAAAAAAAAATGCTATCAAAAAAAATAAGAGCAGCTTTGGCCAAGATGAATTGAACTTGTTTTTAAGTAACTTGAATGTTTCAACTAAGTCCGTGAAAACCGAAGATCCGTTTATTAATCATGCCAATCATATATCAGAAAAAAAAAAAGAATTTATGAATGACTTGAAAAGACGAATAAAAACATTGAGATCGAGAAAATCGAAAATTAATAAGAGTGCGTATAGTGGAAAACAACAGATAAAACTCATCAAAAAAGAAATCAAAGAAGCCAGAAAGATGATTAAAAATCCAGAAAATTATTTGTCCGACTATATCGAAGAGATTTATAACAAAGACAGTGAAGAATCGCCTAGTGATCAAGAAATTTGTTCTAATTCTGAAATTTTATCTGATGAGGACGAATAACAAAATAATTGCTAAAATTTATATCGCATTTGAAATTTCTCTTTTTTTTTTTTATAGCAAGCTATACTTGAATGCCTGAATTGACAAGCAGTAGCGATGAATACAATAACAAAATCAATAACGTATGTGTTTGTTAAGTTTTATCATTTTAAATGCTTTGTTAGTTATTAAACCAACTTAAACTGGTAATTGACCCTGACTTGCACAAGGATATTATTAGTTTAGGGTTTGTGAAAAATTTGAAAATAGAACATGGAGATGTATCGTTCGACTTGAAACTGACAACCCCAGCTTGTCCATTAAAGGACTGGTTCATCAACACGTGCCAAATGGTTGTAAAAAAACTTTCTTGGGTAGGCACTGTATCAATTAATATTCTATACGATGAAAAGAAAACGCAAAAAAAAGAAATGTTTGATTTGATCTCGAACATTATTTGTGTTAGTTCATGCAAAGGCGGCGTAGGAAAATCTACCTTTGCAGTCAATCTTGCATTCGAAATAAGTGAGTCAAACTGTAAAGTTGGTATTGTGGATTTAGATATTTATGGACCAAGTTTTGGCACGCTCCTGCCGTTAAATAAATCAAAAATTCCAGGTCTTATCAAAGCAAAACAGGTTGGTAACGACGGAACAACCAAACTCGTGCCGGTTTATTATAATAACGTTGCTATTATGTCTACCGCATTTCTTCTCAATGACAATCAGTTTCTCGGTTACAGAGGCCCGATGGCTGAAGCATTGGCCATGGAACTAATAACAAGAACAGATTGGGGTGAGTTAGACTATTTAATCGTTGATTTGCCTCCGGGAACGGGTGATGTAAATATCACAGTAATTGAAAATCTCCCAGTTACTGCAGTTATAATTATATCTACGCCGTCACTTTTGGCATTTGAGGACGTAAAAAGAGGCATTGAATTTTTTGAAAAGCATAATGTAAATATAATTGCGATTATTGAAAATATGACGTTAGAGATTTCAGATTACGAGCACAACGCTAATGAAGATATATTACCGATCATTGAAAAGTCGGTTTATCCATACGCTTACTATTTTAATACTTTACCTTTATGCCAAGAGTTGAGAACGTTCAAATTTCTAAACCCCGAAACGGGCAGGGTTCTTTTTCCATTTAGCCTCGCTTACAAAGGTAAAAATAATCTCGTCAAAAAAAAGTTGTCACTGATTTGTGATAGCATTATTCGACAAGTGAGCGTCATCAACAACCCATGTCTAGAAGTCGCGGCTTTCGAGATTCAAGACGATTACAATGTGAGAATTGTACTCAAGAACACTGACTACGAAAATGAAGTTTTCTCAATACCAATCAAGCTTTTAAGATCAATGTGTGAATGTGACGAATGTAAAAAAAATAATAAAAACACATTTAACAGTAAATTCGCGTTGAACCTGACAATTACAAATATAATAGATAACTCGCAGTTCGGAATGGTTTTAGAGTTTTCCGATGCTCACGTCAGTTTAATTACATTCAATCAGTTGCTTTCGTACTATCACAAAAACGAAAACAAGTCAGGTAGCTGTTCTGATAAACAAATCTACTGGTAACTGTAAATCTTAGGCATTAAGTTTGAGAATACGCTTTTCAAGCTCGTTGTGACGTAAGTAAGTGTAAAACGAACAATTCACCAACTCGTCAGCTAAAGTTTGAATGGCACCGAGTACCTGAGTGCAGGCATTGACCGAAATTTTGTTACTGCACAGCTTAGTCAGTATAGCAACGATAAAAGATATTTGTTCGCTTATTAATATCTCATTGGACTCTTCTGTGCAAACGAACATTATATAAATGTTGTTTTCAAAGTAGTATATTATTCTTTCGTCGATTTCAATGATTTGCTCGGTCTTTTTTTCAACAGCACGGGAAGCTAGCTTTCCCACTAAACTATGTTCAAAGGCAATTTGATTTTCTGGCGTGCTGAATTTACTAGAAGTTAATGCAGTTTGCGTATATTTACACGCCAATCGCTGTCCCGCTTGTGTTAAAACTAAAAAAGCTTTAAGGCTAAATGCTGAACTCATTTTTATTCCAAACGCACATCAAATATTTTATAACTGATTAATAAACCAAGGAGTTTAGGCGCTCTAATTAAAATTTATTAAAGATGGATTTATTTATGTTAAAATATTATTACTAGATTAAGAAAACATAATATTGTTCTGATCATTTTACGATTTTCACTTAAAAAAACAAAAGCATGAACGTAGCCAACCTCTTGTGGTTTTTTTAGTATTAGTTGATTCTAATTCATCGATTAAAATTTGAGGTTTTTCGCTAGTAGCGAGCGTAGCAGGAGCTATTAAGCCTTGTTTTATTTCAGTTATTTCGATTTTTTCGACGTAACGCTCTGTTTCGATTTCGCTCTCATCAGTCGTGGCGTCATTGCATTGAACTACAGCTTTGGTTTCGATGGGTTTTATTTTATTAGCACACAATTTAGTTTCGTTGATTGTTTTTGATTTAGGTTCAGAAGGGACGCTTTCGAGCGTACTATCTGGTATAGAAGCACATTTGTCAGTTGCAGTATTAGTGGATATGCTAGTCTCGGACTGTTGATCAACCTCAACTTCATTTTTAGTCGCAGCGTCAACTGGTCCAGTCACAAAATAAATATCTTGAGTAATTTCATCATTATATACTGTTTTTATATTTTGACTTTGTTGGCTATCAAAGGATGATCGGGCTTTAGTTTGTTTTATTTGCCTATGCGTGTCGCCAGTCCATTTCAAGCCTTTTGTTTCTTTGCTAGGAGACAATGTGCACTGACTAACAGCATCAGTCAAAAATGATTTGAATGCCGGCAGTTTGTTTCCTCCATGCAGCCAGTAGTCAACGCTGGCAGGATCCTGGTAGCTAGGAAAAACTGAGTAGTACTTAGAGCTAACTTTGTTATTTAGATCTACTCTACCAATCGTGAAGCTAGATACGTTGATTGATCGCGTTTCACTCGTCAATCTATAACAGCGAAGAATTTCATTTTTACTAACATCTAAACCTCTAGACGGAAGAAAAGCAAACGAAGAAACTTCTCTGTCGAAAACAGCATCTTGTAGTTTGAAGCACGTCTGGTCTTTTGTTTGATACCTATAGCATCTTTGGTCTCCTCTGTTAATCACGGACAAGATTTGTGAGTGTAGATCATAATTTGTCATCATTACGGTACTGTTCCCTTTTATCTTAGATGTGTATAAAGGTGTTTTCAGGTCACGAATATCATAGAAATAAACGGTTCTTTGACCTTTTTCGCAAGGGCCAAACGTCATTAGAGCGGACATGTCAATCCGGTTGTGACTAGCGACAGCTTGAGCACGGCAGAAGCGATTTGTCGAGTATATAGAATCAGTCTTGACAACGCAAGCTTTGTTGCGGATATCGTAAATAGCAACCTCTTGCGAGCTGTTCATACCATATATAAGTTTTCCGTCGAAACTCCAGTCAGCATAATACAAGGATTTTGTCACATCGTAAGACAAGCAGTTTACTCCATTGTCTAAATCCCACAATCGAAGCATTGCATCTTTACTATTTGACATTAGTAAATTGTCGACAGTAGGGTTCCAAGCGATATTTGAAATAGCTTTTGAATTATTGGACACGTCTTCGAACGCAATTATAACGTTTTCTATGTTATCACCTGTTTGTATCACTTTAGTGACCATTAACTCACCTGTGTTAGAAGACGACGCGAAAATGTCGTCGTGGAAATACGAATGCCGGACATCAGATATCCCGTCTCCGTGTAAACAGAAGCTAACGGGTTTTTTACTGTATGCAGCATAAGGATCACTCAAAGGGTAAATTTCTACGATTCCTTTTTTTCGTGTTGATGTCACTATGTTCTGGGTTGAAGCTGATATTTCAAACCCTTCCGAGAAATTCGGAGTATTAACATCTTTGATAGTGCTTTTTAAATCTGCAAAGCGCAGATTTCTGTAAGTTATGTGCGTATCAGCTATTGGTATGTCGAACATGTTTTATTTTTACAACTCTCTTATATTACATGCAAATCTATTTGTGTTACAGCGTTTTTATGAAATTGTTTTAACTCGTAAATGTACATATAATATTAGTCATGTCTAAACATTCTAGTATCTCGAACGATTTGTTTTGGACGTTGTTTTTTTATATTTCAGTTTAGCAATTCATAGGCTCCTAACAATTCTTTGGTAATAAACAACATGTATTCGGAAGCTGCATTTTTTATTTTTTCTACATTTGAAATCGAAATTGGATGTTTTTTTTGCAAACAATGCAGTTCGGCGCTCGTTTCAGATTTGTTGAAAATTAAGTCGTGCTCCACAGGTACGACGTGCCTGTGTTTGTATATTCCAACTTCAATGACAAAACCCTTTTCTGAATTTATCATGCCGTCGATTGAATAAAGCGGCACGAGTTTAAGAGGAATTTTGCCAATCTGATACTGCGCTTCTTTGATTTTTAGTTTTGTGCTACTAGCAAGGAATTTTGCCGAGTTGTGGTTTACATGTTTTTTGAATTGTAACAAATCGGAAACAAACAAGTTTGTTTTTTTCCGTGTTGACGAAATAATGACTTCATCATGGTCGGATACCACGTTGAGTATCAAACTAGGGTTAATTTTTTCAATAAATTTTTTTAGATCAATCACTTGTTTAGAAATAGGGTATACCGTGGCGTAAGGACCTTCAAACCAGTTTAAATGAACATCATCATATTTAGCCGCAGTATAAGGACAGTAAATACCATTTTTTTCAACCGTTCCTCGTCCCTGAATATTCAGAACTGGCACAACGAACAGTTGGTAGTTTGAAAATTCATTTTTTTTTGGTAATGTACAATAAAGTTCGACAAACTTTGTCAAAACTTCTGTCGACAGCAAATCTAGCGTGTTGGCTCCAGCGATATAAAAAATTTTCATGTCAGATTTTGCATTACCCATTTGTACATAATTTATACTATCGTAATTGCCGAAAATCTAAATATGCAAGTTTAAACTTTTATTACATACTAAATTTAGATTAGGACAAAGCAAATTGTTAATTTTGTTAAACAATAAAGCTATCGAAGAATAAGCAGCTGGGAGGTACATAGACGATTTAAATCTCCTAAGAACCCTGTAATAACATGCTCACAAATCTGTGATTTATTAATTATAATTATTAAGACTACTGTATTTAGCAAAAAATAAAAACAAAAAATGCTGGACTAAAAACTATTAGAAGTTACATATAAGTAATCTAAAGGTCAAATATTATAAAGCGTCGGCATAACACTACTCTTCATCGGTGAAAAGTGCAAAAAAAGGGTTGTTTTGTAGTTGTGGATTAGGGTTTTCAGGTGACTTGATGCGACTATTAGTCAGGACTTGATCATCGAGTTCTGAATTGGACTCAGAAGTTCGTTCCCGCTTTAGATTGGAAAAATTAAACATAGCAGTCAATTTTATCGGTGTAATAGCTTGATTCTTAAGATCTGACGAAACAGTATGGAGAAATTGTTCCAGAGAAATGAGCTTGTGGAGAAATGATTCAGAAGATTTATTTTTTTTGTCTAAGTTACAGAGTTCATTATAAACGCGTTTTGGTGCGTATTTGTCAAATGATTCTTTATCGATGTGATAATACAAAATAATATAGTGGTATACGACATGCGAAAGTGTGGCTGAGATGTCAGAGCAATAGTCAAAAGTAACGATGTGTTGTATTAAAAAAAACATATCGTTAAGAAACTTCTGTTTAAAGTACGCTTTAAAATTTAGTTGTACGTCGTTTGATGTTAGCAAAATTAAGTCGAAACAGTGTGTATAAGTAAGTTCCGGGTCGATATTTATAACTCGTTCGGAATTATTGTTAAGCAAGGCGTGAACAAAACAGAAAAAGATTTTCAAAACCACGAGCAAACTAGTGACAAGGATCATGCTGTTTTCATGGTCGTTTTGGGAGCTCGAGCGTAAATGTAGAAACAACTCAGATAAGAGGCCAAAACAGCGGTGAATAGTATTGGTTTGAAGACTGCTGTGAGAATCAAAACTATCTAGATTGGGTTCTGCGGGAGCTTGTTCTCGCGGTTGCATAAAGGTTGACTTAGAGTAATCGTTACGCAAGTTTTCCATGATTGCTGAAAATTCAGCCCATTTTAAATCAATCAAGTTTTCTTCTGCCTTAGTATCTAAACTAGCTTCCACGGTTTTTGAGAATATTTTAATACATTTGTTTATAAGCGAGAAAACCGTATCGCTTTTGTTTTTACCTGGAAGCGTATGGCTGTGCGTAAGTTGTTGTCTCGCAATTAGAGGAAGCAAAGGAAAAATGTCGGTAATGAAGTAAAAACTTGTAACTGGAAGTTTGATTGTCGTAACTAAATAATGTAAAGTGTCAACAGCTTCGGTGCGAATAGCCGTTGAAACATTCGTCAGTGCATTGCGCAGAATACTCCAAATCTTGTCGGGCTGGTGATATTGAAATTGCGAACTAGAGTCGCTGCAAATGGTAGTATTGTGGATTGAAGAAATTTTTTTTAAAAGCAGTATGAGGGTTTTATGGGTAGTTTTTCTTATCTCCTTGTTAGAGTCTAGTACAAGTTTATAGAACAAACTTAGGTAAAAATTGTAAAATGGACGTACATCATTGGGAACTGATTTCAAAAACTCGAATAAATTTCGGATAGCATCGAGCCGTTTTTGCTCGAGTCCGTCTGAGCAATTGACACCGTAAAATAAAATAGGTTTGCCATTGTAGAAAAGCTCATCTAGTTGCGTCGAAAGTTGACTCAAATTCGTGTAAATACCCTCAATTTTGTCGTCGTGCGACTTTATATTGATAGTGCCAACAGTTGTCGAGCTTTCTATGTCGAATTGGTTATCAGGGATGATTTTACGCAGCTTTTTCATGCGTTTCTTTGTATTTATAGACTCTTGAGGTCTAGTTATTTTTGGACCAACCCGTTTTCTCATAGCGCTAGTCAGTTTAAGAGATGTTACATCTACGCCAAACCCTAAATTATTTTGCGTATCTCATATAAAAATAAAGAGGGTTCAAAAAAAATTCTATTTATTTATTTGTATTTTGGCATCATATACAACAAATTGAGTAATATTCGCTTTTAAATAAGAATCAAGCCAGCAGATAGTTTTCAGTAGTGATCCAAGTTCGAGTTACTTCAGTAATGTGATTTCAACGTAAATTAGATCCTTTTACATCACCTTAATATAAAGCTAAAAATTTTTTTGATTAATATTTTCTTTATTGTAAATTAAATCTATCGTGCTTACATGTAACACAGCTATAATAACATTTTATTGTTCGCCCATTGGATTAAATTTGTTTTATTTTAGGATTTGTGACCGCAAATTCAATCTTATGTGCGTACCTTGAAACTGCGTTGATAGTAATTATTTCGTATAAAATCGTCCCATATGCAAATTGACTCAGACGAAACCATAGAAAATTATAAAGAAGGTTTAAAAAGAGCCGTGAGCAAAGATACGATTGATGAAGACCCAAGCAAACATCATCGAATAAGTCCGGAAATTGAATATTTCTTGGACGCAGTAGAATTTGAAGTGGAATGGCTGTTGAGGAGAAGCGAAAAGTTTTTCAACAACAAGTCCGTTCAAACGTCTTGTACAACAATTCCATCCCTTGTACAGCTTTTGGGCTCTGTACCGATTGATTATTTAGTGGAACCTCAAACTAACAAATTCGTAGTAGAACACAAACTAATTTCTGAGCAAGTTCCAAGCAAATTGAATGTTCGGTTTGAGCGACATTCAAAAGACAAGTTTGTCGTGATCAGCCCGGTTAAGGTATACGGAGACCACTTAAATCCGTGTTTGCCTGTCGCGATAATTGAAAACAAACCCTTCATCTACTTAGCTCCAACTATGACTGATTACAATATCCACGAAATAGCAGCGACTATTGCGAAAGATTTTGAAAAGTTTAAATGTTTTATTGGCTGCAGCGTACCTATGCAACCTCTTTCATACACAATGACAGAGCTAAAACGGTATGGAAAATGTGCATTTTGCTCGGACCATTTACCCAATCTCGAAAAATATAAGAATCAAGATTCTAAAAACGAACAAGAAAACGATGAGTTCAAGCTGCTGTTCGAGAAAATTACCCTTGTTAAAAAAAAGGATTTGATTTGGACAAAGGATTGCCCGTTTTCGATTCCTCCGGTTTGCACTTGCGGTAATAAATTGAGTGTGGAAAACCTGAGTAATTTGAACCTTTCTGAATGCTCGATTTTAGAACTTCAAGAATTGCACGAAAAAACAGTATGCCCAGGAATTTGCAAGGAATGTTCGGGAATCACGTTCATTCCGTATTCGGTAATTGAAGTTTACTTGACGCAAGCGTTGAGCAACGTGTTTTTTCTTGCTGTGAACGTTAACTTGCCCCCACAAACCGTTCTTTACTCTGACCCGCGAGGTTTAACAATGCTGATTTTCACTTTATCCCCCGCAAACGAATTGGATATCGTAAGTCGCTTACACCAAAATGAAATAAATTTCGCAATCTTCAACGTGTGTACTAACAATTTTAAAAGCTCCGATAAAAAATATTTTGAATCCCCCGTAATTAGTGAAGGAATATCTATTTTACACGGGCCTCCTCAGTATTTATTTAATTTAAAATTTTATCCAGTCGACGGAGATTTAACGAAGCAACAGTTTAGACGATGTTTGTGTTTTTTTTCCAGACCGGAAATAGATTGGCAAACTATTCATTTAGAAACCCCAAAAAATGAAGAATGGTTTGAGCTTCAACAGAAAAAGATGTTTGAGTTGAGGGATTATTTAGAAAGTTTAAATGACACAAACTACAAGCAAGAAAAATCGCTTTCCTATTTGTACGCTAATTTATAAAGTTTTTTTGTAAATGGTATACGGCTGGTTTCAATATTGTCTATTATAAATTTCTGTACCTGATAACCAGCTGTTGATTGTTCAAAATTGTAACTATTGTACATGCATTCAATTTAACAGTAAAAAGTTAAATTATGAATTTTATTTCGTGTTAATTTCAATAAGTTACTGGAAACATGTTATCGCAGTTTATGTCTTCTGTCTGGAAGGCTTTGAAGCTTAATACGGCAACTTTGTCGGGTTGCAGCGATGTAATCGTCATTAAAAAACAGGACGGATCTTTAGACGTAAGTTGGTCTGAGTATCACGTTTCAGTCGACAGCCTTCCACGTTCGATTTGGAAGAACTAAACTGCTGTGGCCTGAGGCTCAGCCAGTGAAAATTCGAATTAACGGAAAGGAAGTTCCAGTAAAAATGCAGCTTAGCGCTGCTGGAGAAGGCTTTTTTAAAAAAGAGGCGGAAGTGGAAAAAGTTGCGAATTTTTCTGAAGAAATAGCCCATGACGAATCAATGTCACCCAATTTTTTAAGCTCATGCAGTGGTTGTAATTTTGAAAGCGCTGCTACTAATATCCTTGATGAAGATAGATCCGTTGCCGAAGAAAAGCACATGAATAATGACTACAAAACTTGTTGGTCGCGTGCCTTTAGTTCGAATAATGAAGAGTTTTTGCGACAGCTCTCGATCAATCAGAACGATTTTGGATATGCTTTGGGCTATTCCAGCATAGAAATATCAATGTGTGCCAATTTAATAATTGGCAAGGAAGATTCTCGCGAAGCAGACAATGAAATATTTGAGAAAAACCTAATTGGCTCAGAGGAACTGGAAAAAGATCCAACTCTATGGTATAATCCTTATGTAATTTTTCGCTTCGACAAAGAAGGTCCTTTCATTCCTAGCTGGGTTGCGCTGCCCATAATAACTTCCTTGTTCCTTTTTAAAAAACCAATTTCACCAGAAGCGTTTGTGAAACTGTTATCGGCGAACATAACATGTAAAATAAACGAACCTTTACTGAATGAAATATGTAACGACTCTAATTTTCACGATCTTTTGAACAAAAACCAATTAAATCATTCGTTTAAAAACAAAAAGGACAAAATAGAAAGTTCAACAGTTACAAACGGGCTGATAGCTGAAAACATTATTGAATCAGTGCTCGACTCAGCAATGCCTTTGAAACCGACGCATGTTCAGCTTAAGCAAATGAATTTGAAGGACGGAGCTAACGTCGTTGAATACATTGTCAATTCACAAGTGTTAGGCGTTCGGCATTTGATTGGAACAATTTATCTTTGGAGCGACGATACAAAAATCATTGTGTCAGACATAGACGGTACTATCACGAAAAGTGACGTTTGGGGACAGGTTTTACCTATTTTGGGTAAAGATTGGTCTCACAGAGGCGTGGCTAATTTATTTTCTCGCTGCAGTAAACATGGATATGAAATAGTTTATATTACTGCTCGGGCTATTGGGCAAGCCAATACAACTAGGGATTATTTGTTTAGTCTGCAACAAGACGAAAAATATTGCTTACCTGACGGACCTTTGTTTTTATCTCCAGACAGACTGTTTGATTCATTTAAAAGAGAAGTAATCGATCGTAAATCATTTATGTTTAAAATCGCAGTGTTAAATGATATTAAAAAAACTTTCCCTGCAAATAAGAACCCGTTCGTAGCTGGTTTTGGAAATAAACATACAGATTACGTGGCGTACAAAAATGCCGGAATTCCAAATGACAAAATTTACATAATTGATTCAAAAGGTGTAGTTAAACATATGGATAGCGGTAACAGTAAAACATACGGTGAACTGGCTGAAAACATTGATGAAATATTTCCTAGTCGAAAAGAATTTTTTGCCGGTGATTCTCAAAATAAAAAAAATAGCGAAAAAAAAAGGCTTTCGCATTTTAGAGCAAAACTAAAGTCATAAAGTCTTTTACTTAGAAATATAAAGGATTGATAATTGTTGTGTAGTCGCATGACGGTAATTACTGGTTATAACGCCACGAAATATGCTGAAAGTGCTCGCCAGCTTGTTGACAGTATCTTTGCTGATAATCCTGAGATTTCTAAATTTGAGCTCGTCAATTTGCTCAAACAAAAAACAATTGTAAAAATTAAAGGTTTTGTTTATCCTGCTAACAAAAATGAAATTTGCGAAGAAGTCGCTTTGGAACATTTGCGAAACAATTTGAAAATTGATCATTCGCCAATTTTGCCTAGTGGTTCTCTCAAAACTAAAATAACAGCGAATTTCGAGAGGTCTAAAAAACTTAGGCAAAGAGTTGAGAATCAAGAATCGAGTTTCGATTTGATTTTCAATGCCGTGTCTGAACTAAAATGCCATTCCTCGATTTTTGGAAATTACAACATTGCAACTCGTTTAATTAGACTGCTTTATGATTTTTTTGAGGAACCTCATTCGATAGCTTGTGGCGACCCTACTTTAGTTTCGGGGGATCCTGGCTCAGGAAAATCAGAGTTAATTAAATTTAGTCTACTGAAAGCCCACTCTATAATAAGACGGAATGGAGTTACTGATCTGCACATCCTTTACAAAATAATAGACTGTTCGGAAATGTCTTTCCTTCAAAACACCGTTTATACCTACAACAACAGATATTTAGACGTTTTGTATGAACGACTTGAATCTTTTAACGAAAAAGTCGTATTGATTATAGAAGATTTAGAAGATATTTTCTATTTTACAACTACGAAAAAAAAAGAAAATGCCGGTCAGGATAGCAAATATTCTCAGTTCCTCAAACAATTTGCTTATTTTTGTAATTTAGTCAGCAAAAACTTGAAAAACGTATTTTTAATATTAACTGCTAAGTCCCGTTCTGTGCTTGATCAAACTTTACTGTACAGATGTTTTATTTCCGTTGTAGAATATCATTTGAAGCCTTTAAGTGCGGACGATAAATTAAAACTTATATTGTTCATAATTTCGAACAAGACGAACGAAATAAACAGCCAAGTAACTGAAACTTTAATAAATAAATGCAGATTAATGAATTCGTGGACTTTAGCAAACGTTGCGATGTTTGCTAAAGCGATAATTCGTTTCGCCTACGAAATTCAGAACAAGCAGTTTGACGATTTGTTGCTTAAAGAGATAGCACCGGGCTCAGCAGATGAGACTCTTTCAATAGATTCGTCTGATTTGTTTAACAAAGACGAAAAAAAAAATTCGGAGCTGGTACTGTGCATTGAAGCAGTTAATCTAGCTTTTAATCAGGTAGTAAATGAATTTTTAGTTGAAGGTTTTGTAGAAACACCCACTGTTCAATTTAGTCATGTTGGAGGAATGCAAGATATCAAGACGTATGTAGAGCAGAATTTGATTGATATAATTAGAAATATAAACGAATATAAATCAATGGGATTTAAGGTTGCGACAGGTTTATTATTGCACGGGCCTCCTGGATGTGGAAAAACCTATCTGGCTCGCGCGATAGCAAATGCTTGTGCAGCTAATTTCATCTTAGTTAATGGCAGTGAACTTTTAGACAAATATATGGGAGAAAGCGAACGGAAGATTCGCGATGTTTTTTCAAAAGCTTGTGCAAATAGTCCTTGCATCATATTTTTTGATGAATTTGACGCGCTGTGTCCTTCTCGAGATTCAGACCAGACGCATGACCTCTTAAGAAGAGTTGTGAACACATTTTTAGCTGAGCTGGATGGCGCTACTAACCGTAGTGGTGTTTTTGTAATTGCTGCAACTAACCGCCCAGCACTAATTGATCCGGCTTTACTTCGAAGTGGAAGGTTTGAACACAGATTATACGTACCACTGCCGGACTATGAATCCCGGCTCGACATTATTTCTGTAATACTGGATCTAAAATCGTGGCACATGTGTAAAAAAGATATCCAACTTCTTGCGCTAAAATCTGAAGGCTTTTCGTGTGCAGACATCAGTTTCGCGCTCGAAACTGCTGCAGTTACGAAATGGAGAGCGCAAAACAAAAAAGTGTCTAGAATTGAATTGAATTGTGAAGATGTTTTAAGTAAATTAGAAAATACAAGTCTTTCAAAAACGTTATTAATATAGTTATTCAAGTAGGTTTTGACATTGTTTGTGTTTGAAATTGGATTTTATCATTTGGGAGACTTTGCAGGAGGTTTTCCAAAATTGTTTTTCTTATATACACAACGTAAATAAGTGTGTAGTTGGTCAAATGTTATTATGAACCAACGTTCGGAACAAACAAAATATAACTGCTATCTAAACTCATATATTGACGAAAACGGTTTTAACTTGTCAACATTTAGAACTGAGCTATGTCCTTTTATTTCAAAGTTCTCAACTTGTTCTCACGGAGAAGATTGCAAATTTTCCCAATGTCTGAGCTGGAGTCGACGAAATCCTTTTGCTTTTCAGTATCGAAGCAGCTTGTGCCCGAACATGAAGTTTTGGAAGGAGAATAAACGCATGCGGGTGAAATCTTGGTGTAAGCGAGGACGTTCTTGTCTGTTCAGCCATACAAAAGAAGAACAAATGTATCATCCTGAAGTGTACAAAACTTTACTTTGTAAGAACTACCCTGATTGTGATAAAATATTTTGTCCGTTTGCTCATGGCATCAAAGACTTACGTTACCCAGAGTTGCAACATCCGTTCACGCGGGTTGCAGGTCCCGAAAATTTCGAAGAAGATATGATAAATTCACTATCTACACACGACTTAAACAAGTTAATTAATGAAAATTCACAAAAAACTGGCGAGCTATCATTAATGGAAACTATTAAAAACGAATTTTCAAATTTACTGAGCAAATCTGATCCGCTTTCCTTTTCCATCTTCATGGACGAACATTTTCAAATTTTTTCAGCTACATTTGATCCAGCTGCTGTCAAAGTTTTACGAAGTGGTTTTATTGCATTAGATATTGTATAAATTATTTATGATTGTTATTGATGCTAATCTTAATTCGTGTAAAATATGTTTTGTACTATTATTAATAAGCTTCTGCATATTCTTATAAAATTATTTTGTTCTTAAAAATTTTAGAAAAAAAAAAATAAATTCAAGTTACGAAAAATGGAGAACCAAGATGGAGTTGAAACAAACAAAAGATTCTGCATCGAGAATGATCTGGAATACGAAATTATCAAAGAAGGAGGTGGAGACTGCGTATGCGAAGGTAACAAAGTATTTATTAAGTACATAGGCTATCTAGCTAGTGGAAAACGCTTCGACTCAGGGCACTTAAATGTGAACGTTGGAACGGGCGAGGTAATTCGAGGATTTGATATGGGTTTAGTGTCAATGCGGGTCGGCGAAACGAGAAAAATCTACATTCCTTCCGCTTACGGATACGGTAAACGTCGCGTGGGCCCCATTCCACCTAATTCTGATTTGGTTTTTGAAGTGACTTTGATTCGATTCAAATAGTTTTTTTGTTGAAAAATAATTTTAAAATTATCGTGAAAATAATATCCGCAAGGAAAATCATTTTTGTGATATTTCGTCCGCTTTTATGTCTATAGGACATATAAATACTGTTGAAAAATACAGTGAAGTTATCGATACTTTATGTTGTTGGGCAGAATTTAACGACTCAGGCGCAAGCAGCAGCAAAATAATAAGCTTATTACAATCGCTCACAAGTTTCTTTGAAAAAAATGCATTGGATTTCAACGGATTCTCCGACGATAAGCTTTTAAGCAACCCAACCGAATTTGTGCTTCTTATCCAAGCTTTGCATAAATTACACGAATTCAATAATGAGATACAAAAAACTCAAGAGTTGAACAAGAAATCCCGCTTCATTTATATATTCAAATTTTTTTTTTCTGTTGAATATACTTCTGAGTACAAGTCCTTGTTGAATACGGCCTACAAACTTATTCAAAACCACGATTCATTAGATAGGTTGAGCAGCAAGGATTACAAAGAATATTATGCCGATTTGGTCAAAACCTTTAACTATTCAGTGATCGCTTTGACTTATTGTTTTTTCTTTGGCCAGTGGAAAAGCATGTTGAAACTGCTAGTAGTATGCTCTTACAAAAATGATTTGTTAGTGAGCGTTTTTCTTGATACGTTTTTTGCTTGTTTTGCACAAGACAGAAAGTTGGAGGATTGCTTTGAGCAGGTTATTCGAAATCTTGATAATATAGAATCGTTTAAGTTTAAGCTATTCAGTAATATCAAAAAACAAAAGATCAGTTGTTTAAAACACCACATATTGTTTGGCATACTAGGAATTTTCTTCGGCAGTAATTTCGCGACAAAACTTGCCATCTGGGTTCAAAAGTCTTCAAATTACCAAAACCTGTCGTCGAGCAATTTAGCTCTCAAGCGGCTCTTTACTCCTTATGTTAAATCTGCTGCATCTGAAACTAGTGCTGTGGCCGCTTCGTCCATCTGTGAAAAAACCGTTTCAAAATGTAACGAATTTGAATTAGGTATTTTCAACTGTCCTATCATTCGTTTGTTTGTTAAATGGATCTGGTGTGGCGATCCTAAATCTGACATATTGATGGACCAGACTGCAAGTTTTAATGATTTCATAGCCAACCCGTTGTTTCTCAAGTCATCTGTAGCTCTTTTCAACTCTTCATTCAAACAATCAAAGTATTTTTACTACTTGTTCTATTTGTTGGCTAGTGGAAAAGTTGACGACGTAATCCAGGCTGGTTTGCATTCTTCTGATTTCTACAGTATAATTCTGAGCTATGCAGCAGCTTTTGTTTCTAACGAGAACATTTATGAGATCATTAGTAACAGTTTCAAATTAATCAATCACATGGTATTAAATTCTTTCAAATTGTTTATCCAGAACAATCAGACCGCGAATTTAGATGTTTTAGTAACTATTAATTCAAAGCTGGTCAGTATGAACCATGCACTTTCTGAAGAAAAAGCTGTTTTAGCTGCTTTTCCTTACTTTGAGTTCAATTTAAAAAATGAAAAGAATTTACTACATTATTTATTTCTTGTGGAAATTCACAAGTGCAATTTTTCATATGCCAATTTATGTCACTTGTACGACATGCAGTTAGTTGTGTCAAAAGCAATACTTCGCAGCGAATTTCTGCTAGTAGAATACAATACAGAATTGTCTTTTATATTCTGGAAGAATCTACAAGAGTTAGCAGAACGAAAACGTAACAAAGATTCGGATCTCGGCTTGTTCGCTACCTACGTTGATTTTTTTTCAGATTTTATCTACTTGGTGAACAATAATTTTAAGCTTTATTCTCACTTGCTGGCGTTAAACATCAACTACTTAGCAATGTTCATCAAATTAAGCCCGCGTCTTGTATTTTCGGAAACCATCGAAGTTGGTGTTTTAATGGCTTTGCTCAAAACACAAAATGTTGAAGCTTTTTTTATTCCAGAAGTGTTTTTCTTTTTGCTTTACGTTCTAAAAGAAGTAGCGTATCGCGAAAAGCTGTGTGACATCATAATTAGATATGTAGTTTCTTTAGTTGATAAATTTACGAAGATCGAAAAAAGTTTGATCATTCAAAAAAATTACTTTACCAACCTTGTAGTTCAGTTTAACGATACTTTGAATGAATTGTCGTCGAATTCGTGTTCAAATCGCATCGTTGAAGATAGAATGCTACAATTGTTTAAAACATTTGAAATCGTGGAAGAAGGCGAGGATAAATCGTATAAGCCTGTTTTATTTACTTCCCAAGTTCGTTGTTTTCCATTGTGCGAAAACTTTATTAATAACGATAAAAGTTTTTTTTAAGGTATAGAAATGCTGATTTTTCGTTGTTCAATTTAGGTACTCAAAATTGTAGAACATGAATTACTTACGGCTGTATCAGTTAGTCGTTTTGGCTTTATCGAGACTGGCTCTGCAAGAAAACTCTACTGAAAATTTATTTAACAGTAACCGCCACGTTGTTATCAACTACGGCAACTCCTATGCACCGCATATATACGATCTTAATTTATTTGACGACGATGACTGTGAACTTGATGACTATAAAGAAGTTGTAAATAACGGTTGGTGTGATTCCAAGTTCTTTAAAGATAAATGCACTGTGGACAAGAAAGACTGTGAACGCTGGTGCCGTCCTGAATGCAAACCAGGCTGGGTTGGAGACGGAGTCTGCGATCTATCTTGCTTCAACGCAGAGTGCAACTGGGACGGCGGCGATTGCGACGTGCAATTCCAACGTACCTCTTTAAAAACTAAAAGTGCAAACACCTGTAAATGTCCTTTGATCAAACTAGGAGACGGGGTGTGTGATTTTGAATGCAATAATCCTGAATGTGATTTTGATAAAGGAGATTGTTCTGAGTTTTGTAGCAAGAACTGTCGATACAGTCAACTGGGCAACGGCACTTGCGACACGAGTTGCTTTACTGAGCAATGTGGATTCGACAAAGGCGATTGCAAAGAATGTGCTCCTGGATGTCGACCAGACCGCATCGGGAACGGCCTTTGCGATTTGGAATGCATGAACGACAAATGTTTTTGGGATATGGGTGATTGCGCGGGCTTCTGTAAAATTCACCCTTTTGACTATTCAGCCATACCATTCGTTTATAGAGCTTGCAGAAAAGAGTGGATCTCTGATGGTTTTTGTGATTGCGCTTGCCTTAACGAAGAATGCGATTGGGACGGCCACGATTGTGACGCCTTTGACTGTTCTTTCATGTCAAACTGAGTTTGCGTCTTTTTATTTTGTCACAGAGTAGTCGTAACTGTAAAAAAAAACACTCATCGTGCCAACTATTGCCAACATTACTTTAGAAACTACTATATCAGTGTCTTTCAGCCAAACTAAACTTATAAAATAGTTGACTAAAGACGACATGGTGATTATAAGACATTTAAAAGTGCTATCGGTTGACTTCACAAGCAATCCTACCAAAAACCCTCCTAGCGATTTAATTATTATGTCTATAAAATTTATTAAGCACATTTTTCTTCGTAGCCAATAGTATTGGACGACGCTGAAGACTGACATCTTCAATTTAAGCGATTGCATCGCTAGCATTACGATAACTGTATCGGTAGATAAAATGAAATTGAGCATCCAAAAGTTAATTTCTTTGTATTTAACGATTTTTTCAAATACCATCGAGTTGGCCACTGAAAGCAACACCGAACAGAATGCGAGAAGTTCGCCAGTTCCAAGCGACAATCGCATAGATCGGTTGTCGTATGCCATAAGTGCCACCGCGACGCCTGTGATCAACAAAGCGAAGATTTGTTTCCGACTGAGTTTTTTGTTGTTAAAACCGTACGCCGCCAAACCACTAAAAATTAACTTCATTTGCATAATTGTTTGATAATTTGTCAAGGGTACGATCTGCATGGACTTAATCGTTAAAATGTTTTGTACAAGGTACAGCGTGGACAAGAAAAAGGCGGCTAAAGCGAAACTGACGAACTGGCCTGTTTTCAAGCCACCCGTAATTGACTTATTACAATCGGTTTGCGCTACAAAAAAAATAAAACTTAGAATAACTTTAAAAAACTCGATGTAAAAAACGATTATTTGTAGTTCTAAAGATGCATTTTGTGAACGTGATGTTTTTTGCAATAAAATGGAGAGCGTATTTTGAACAGTTATCAAAACCGAGGTCGCCAACACACTGAATTTTATCATTGTGGGTACGGGAAAAATTTTATAATATTAAAAATTTCATCTAACATAAATTTAAATATAATTTATTTTTTGAATTATATAAAATCAAATTGAATTATGGCTCCCCCAAATGCAAAAAGCTCTGATTCTTCTTATTCCGCAGCACAATGGGAATCACTCTCGTTGTACGAGAAGTTAGGAGTATCTAGGAATTCTACAACTAGAGAGATTACGACTGCATACCGAAAACTCGCAATGAAGTACCATCCGGATAAAGGTGGAGATGAAAATATTTTTAAAGAGATTACCCAAGCTCACGAAATCTTAACTGACGATAATAAAAGACAAATATACGATATGCACGGACTCGCTGGTCTGCAAGGCGGCATGAGCGGCGGTCCATCAGAAGGCATCAACATATTTGATCTTTTCTTTGGAGGCAGCGGTCCCAAGAATTCTGGGCCAAGAAAAGGAGCTAGCGAGACTCGTACTTTAGGATTTACGCTTGAAGAATTCAATTCCGGCGTTTCGAAGAAAATTTCGATTAACCGTAAAAAGGTTTGTACAATTTGTAACGGCCGTGGAGCTGCTTCAGAGCACATCAAGACTTGTCACGTCTGTGGAGGAGCCGGTCGTGTAATAGAAACGTTCAAGACTGTAGGTTATATCAGTCAAAGAAACATTGACTGTGTAGCTTGTCACTCTTCTGGTAAAATAATTGATCCTTCTAACCGCTGTAAATCTTGCAAAGGAGCGTGTATAATTCGAGAATCCGAAAACATAGACGTTATTCTGCCTCCAGGAGCGCCCAACGGATATAAAATTGTCTGTCATGGCAAGGCTGACGAAGCACCAAACGTTATCACTGGTGACCTAATAATTGTGGCACAAGAAAAAGAACATCCAGTCTTCAAACGAAGAGGAAACGACTTAGTTTGTAACTGGACCATTTCGCTTCGCCAGTCTTTGTTAAAAGAACCCTACGCCATCACAAATATTACTGGTCAGAAAATATTAATTAAACCCGAAAGTATAATAGCTCCAGACATGATCATCATGGTTCCCAACCACGGTATGACCATACTAAACTCGATGGGCCGTGGTAACTTGTACATTCACCACAAAGTGCAATTCCCCACTTCGATTTCGCGTGAGCACTTGCCTATCCTCAACAGCATATTCCCAGACCCAGCAAATATCAAGAAAATTTCGACTGATGGAGCGGTTCCTGTGCCTACTAAAATGGTTAACAGCATGCCAACTGCTTCAAACGACAATTACCACAAACAAAGGTCTGAAACAGAAGATGAACACGCTAGCAACGAAGTTAGCTGCAACCAAATGTAAATTGCTTTGCGTAGATAACGCAGTGTAGATCTGCTTTTTTATAATTTTGCTTTTTTCATAATTATGCTTTGATTATATTATTTTAGTTATATCTCCTGGACAAGTTGTAGTGTTTACGACCTAAACCGGCCATTTGCATAATGTTGGGCGAATATAAAAACGAAGTAGAGACTGTATTTCTGCTGCTCGACCCGAACTCGGCGGGAGCGATTATTCTGAACGATGCCATTATTGGACTCAAAGCCTTGGAAGTCAATGCTTCGAAACAAGAGCTTGAGGCGTTCTTGAAAAGAAATCTGCAAATTGAAAACACGACCGTGGTTAGCCAAAAACTTTTTCTGGAAACAGCGATCGCGTTTAAGCGAAACATTACTGACACAGAAAGCATAAAAAAGTCGTTCTACCTCCTCGACGAAAAGCAAAAAGGCTACATCTGTGCTGACCAATTGAAAACAAAAATCATGCAATTAGGGCTGGATATTCCAGACGAATTGATCATGCAGATGATTAAAATTGCAGATCAAAACGAAAAAGGATACGTAACGATGGATGATTTCATTCGCGTCATCAAGATAAGCTCAGAATATCTCACTTCAACCAAGTTAACCATTACTGAGTAACCTCTTCCGTTATCTCTCGCAAACAAAGGCTCCAGTCGTCGACGCAAAGCGATACGCTAGAGGCGCTACTCGAGCCAGTGAATCTGAAAACTTTTTTTATAAACATTTTTGATTTCAGCACAATTACTGCCTCTAAGCTGGTTGCATTTAGAACGACAAGATCACCATTTTTATATGTGATCCAGAGAAAACCGAAGCGTTTTTCAAATCCGACTGGAAAATCATATAATGGTCTGCCTAACAATTTATGTTTCATTTCAATCTCGACTTTCACTTCTGATGCGCCAGTTTCGTGAGCTGATTCAACAATCAAAAGCTGTTCGCAGCTGATCGTAAACATTTTAACGTTATGATCGGTGTTGTATGTGTAAAGCGTGTTTCCGTCTGTTTCAACGTACACAGGATATCTCGTTCGGCCTGTTTCAAAAAACACGTTTGGAGTTATTTTTACCAATCTTTTGTCTTTTAAAAAAAATAAACCTTCGGAACAAAATATCAGGCTGGCTTGCTTCAAAATGAAGTTGTGGCCTTCGGCCATACAATATACTTCGCACCTTTCCAAAATCTTTAAGGTTTCTATCTGAACCTCGTTGTCAGCTCGAACCGCCATTTGAATCAGAGCTAGACGGCTTGCATCGGAAACTAATAGCTGATTTGAGCTTTTTAAATATAACGGTTTCAGGAGTAACGGGTCAGACTGAAATATTTCTCGCCCTTTGAGACGAAAAACAAAATCGGTTGACACGGAGACTAGCTCGTCTTCAGCTTCAATTACAAACTTAGTGTCTTTTTCTTCACTGATTCGGACTCTATCAGTCTTCTGGTTCGATTTGACTATTTGAAAAATTCCATTATCGTTACAGTATACAATGTCTCCTCTCGCTGTTATTATTGCGTCATTGCAAGGAAGCAGTGAAGTTTCGAAAAAGGCATATCTGATTGAGTAGGTCTTGCCTGAAAGTGACAATTGGCTATCAGTCGTTTTTAGCCCGTTGATAATGCAGCATTGCATTTTATGCAATGAGTCAGACATTAATGTGTAATTAACATGGTATTTTGTGACAAATTTATTATTCAATTATAAATCAAGCAGAGGGAACTCGAGTCGGAAAGTACGACGTACGTTCTAGACTATTTTATAAATATATTCAAGAATTAATAAGCAAAAATGTACGAATATTTCTTGACCACACTAAGCCAATTCGTTAAATGTTGAAGATATTAAAGGAAAACTGCTGGCACGAGCGACGTTTGCAATACCCCAGGTGAAACGATTATCAAAAAGCTGTATATTCATTACCACGTCGAGTTGCAGTAATATGTTGGTAATGAAGGACGTGGCAGACTCTGTCAAGTTATTTTCTGCGTCCATGCTGGAATCGTCAATACTAATTAGCAGCACAAGCTTCGTGTTAGAAAGGTTGATTTCACAAAGTAACTGGAAAATCAAACATTTTGCATCCGTTAATTCTTCGTCTGACGCTTGTAGTGGTACCAAAAAAAAGATACAACCGATGTGCAGATTCAACAGGCCCAGTATCATCTTTACCTGGATGTTGTGATCACTTGAAGTGTCCCACACGTTAATCACTGAAGAGTTAATTTTGATCGTTTGGCACGCAATGGATAACTCATCAGGCGGTGGAAACTCAGGATACCGCTCGACTTTGTTTTGGAAAATCAAATTTTTCCATAAAAGAGTTTTTCCAGAGCGCGGAAGACCAGATATTATGACGTTTGTAGTTATTTTTAGGTTTTGAAGATCTTGCGTAGAATCATACACTTCATTTTCCGCGAACGCTGTTGGAACGACGGGTTTATCAGTGATCCTACAACATATCAAGCCCATTCAGAGCAAAATTATTGACGCACAAGCTGGAATTGCTGATTTGTAGTCTATAGTTCCGCGTTTAGTCCAATTTGAGTGAAAAACGCAGACTTTTCGTTATTATCAAGCAAGTTTATTTGTCTTAGAAGGGAAGGAATCGAGGGTGCACTCGTAATCGATCTGACGTATAACCATGTAAACATAGCCATGATCAACTGGCAGTCGAAACGGTCGGAATAACCTCCGTGACCTGGAAACGTGTTACTATAGTCTTTAATTTTGAAATATCGCTTTATGGCACTAGATAAAAATCCGCCCAACGGTGCGCCGAACGACGCGAATAATCCGAAAATAATAAAATCAAACCAGGCATGACGATAAAACAAATTCAAACCCAAAATTTTAATAGGCTGCAGCGCAAATCTCGAACTCACTTTACAGTCCTGCGTAACGTCGTGGAACAGCGGTATTGTTGGAGAAAATCCCAAATCCGCACATGTAAATAATTTGAATCGCTGAAGCACTTCACCAACCAGCAGAGTGAAAATCGGTGTCAATACCGCAGCACCTAAAAATCCTTCAATAGTCTTGTTGGGTGAAACGTTTATCAAAGATGTTTTTCCATACTTCTTTCCGACTAAGTACGCAAAGGTATCGTTCAGTGCTACACTCGCAATACTGGTTGTAAACCAAATCAACCCTTTATCAATTGTTTTGATGTGTGAGATCGACTGGTAGACCACAGTAAGACAAATAATAAAAATGAAAAACAGCGTCTTTAATTCTTTTTTTAACTGGTTTGTACGTATTTTAAATATCGATCGCAATAGACCTAACGTTATCAGCAGGTATTGCAGTACCGCCAAATAGTTGTCTAAACGCGGTAATATGCGAATGAAAAATTGCAATAATTTATTGTCCACGTTCAGATTCTGGTATTTCGTATCCGGAATGCGAGACAACTTATCGACTATATACGGCCGAAGTGTGGCGAACGCTGTGAATAACAACCAGTAAGCAGCTTGGAAGAACGGAAAGTCGTGATCTCGTAGCGTCACCCGCAAAACTTCAAAATACGTTAGCGTGCATAAGATTAATACGGTTAGAGCACAGTAAAAATGCCCAAGAGCTAACACAAACATAGTAACAATCACCAAAAACAAAGATGTACTATAACAATATTTCTCATTTTTCTTACATGAATCGTTTCATAAAACTAGAACTTTTCGTTGACTTTGATTTGATGTTCGAAAACGAAGTTGTTTTTTTTCCATTCTCTTGGGCTAGATCGCTCTTTTGTTTGCTTTCATTACTTTTCCTACTCATTTTATTCGAAAAGAAATTAATAAATATTAATGATATTCAATCTTCAAAACATTCTTATTTATTATACCTGTGAAGTTACAGAATAGACTTCTTATTGGGCTCATGTCAGTCTATGACCACACCTTCCATGTCGTATTTGGACAACGTATTTGCTAATATTTTCAATTTTTTTTGAACCATCATTCCTATAATCGATGGAGCCAATAGACTAATATTTCTAAATATCCATTTGTCCATTTCAGATCCGTCAAAGCATTTCACTAGTTGGTTCGATAACTCTTGAATTTCTGTCTCACTCATTATCGTCATGATTTGCATATTGTTTCCCAGAGAAATCCAAGACGTGCTCACTGAACAAGTTTCGTGTGGGGCTGGCCAAAACATCAATTTGTTTATTCGACAATTAGCAAAGTTCCCTGTGATAAAAGGCGCGGCGACATTAGTAGAACTGAACTCGGTATGTGAATACATTGCTTTGTAGATTTTTTTTGAAAGACTTACCGGAAGAGCTGCAACAATTCCAAGCGAAAGTAAATAAACAACCATTCCCATGTTCTGTTTTTTACATTTGTTTAAACTTTGCTTTATCTGCAGTAACTGTTTGCGAAACAAAGAGGAATCGCTAAAATTGATTTTCGACGTTTCAAAGCCACTTGTTTCAGGAATTTGTAAATTCACCGACACCATTGACGTTTGATTATCGAAACACTTTGGGGCTGCAGTCCTACACATAAACGGAATAATAATTGCGCTATTCGCAAATGCTTGCGGTTTAATCGGATTGGTGTCGATAGAAAATGAATTTTCCATGGACATCACATCCATAGACGTTGTTCTTTCTTTATACTGGCAATTCAATATTATAGATTCAGCCGAACTACGAACTACGTTTTCTTTGTCCACATAATTTTCGTTTAAAGGAATTTCATCATTAGTTTTATACTTTTGGTTGGCGAGTTCGTACAAAGTACTTTTGATCTTATCTACAGATTTAAACTCTGCGTAAACGTGGCTTAGTAAAAATAATAAAATGTCATTCACCGTAAACTTATTTTTGAATTTTGATCCATCGTGTTTTTTCTCTGAAAATAACCGGATAATTTTTTTAATCATTAATAAGTCGATTTCATTGTAGTCACTTAAGTAACGTTTACCAAAAATTATATTATTCTTATCTATCAGTTGATTAGTAACAAAAGACTTTCTATCGGAGCTTTTCAAACAATACTCCAACAACACGCCTAGGCCAACAACAGATGTGTAGATTGCTTGTGTAAAATAATACAGTATTCTCAGTCCTAAATTTACATTTTTTTGATATTTTAAAGGTAGAATTGAACGATCCAACGGAATATCAGCGAGTCTATCCGATGTAATTGTCATAAGGCTCGACCCGTCACAAATCGTATGATGTATTTTAAATAAAATATAAATTTTTGTAGGCAAGATGATATAATATACTCGCCAAAGCGGTTTGTCTTTTGGTAGTTTAAGCAAGTATACTTCTTGAATTTTTTGGGACAATTTTCGTTCGTCATCTAAATCAATTGTTATTATATGGTTAGAAATGTCGAACTTTGCTCCGAGATTAATCCAAGTTGTGCGTCCGTACTTCTTTTTTATTACAGAAGTAAATTTTGAATCAAAAACAATCCATCGTTTCCATAAATGATACTTGAAAGAACTAAAAGATAATGTTTTCTCTACTTCGTAACCCATTGTGATAAATAATGGTGTTTCTTCCATTAAGAACAACAAATCATTGGCTGTAACTCTCTTGTCAGGTGGAAAGTAAGATAAATATTCACAAAACTGCGCTAAAGTACCTTCACGGTAGAAATATTTTAGTTTCATGAGATAAAAAATTATCGTTACGTTTACCGTCTCATATGCTTTGAAATCATTCCTTAAATCATTCCCATATAACTTTTCTGGTTTATTTGGTTTAATTCTATTATCAACGTCCTTTTTATTTATAACTTTTATCCACTCTTCAAATCTTTCTATTATCGCTAATTGATTAAAAATTAGTAAAAACAAATAATCCACTAACGCTAATACCATAATTACGCAAGCTACAATTGGAGAAATCAAACAGCATAAAAACTTTAAAACCCAGATGAAGGCATTATAATAATTAACACTCATTTTACGTTGTATAATTCTGATATTAACCAATGTATAATTTTTCTTGCAGTAACTCGAGTCGAATCAAGTTCTAATGATGTGTACTGGGTATATTGTAATATAATAAGTCTTTAATCTTTACTACTTGCTAAAATTTTAAAATAGGCGCGTACTAGATGTATGTTAGTTTTGAATAAGGCGCATACGATCGTGTTATGAATTTTTAGAAAAATTTATTTAATGACTGTTGCTACTTTCTTAAGGCTTCATTGCATTGTATTAATCTAGTTTTACGCTTAATATTTTCATATTTTCTGTATTTTAGTAAGAACAAAGATAAGTTATTAAAATCTCAATCGAGTTTTTTTTGTAGCTACAAATAATTTTTAATTCGTTGCTGAGCTGATTTTTATAGTGATAATTGTCTAAATCAACAACTAAAGCGTAAAAATTTCTATAATTTTTGGAAATTAGCAAAGCTAATTCGCTATTTATTTTTGGAATCATTCTTGTCAAAAACAAAAATAAGTCTTTTGCAGATTGTGTTGATTTTTTTTTGCATAAACTATCAAATTCTCTTATAGGTAAAATGTTCAATGCTGTTTTTTTTCGGTTGAAGATCATGTTTATGTGAGTATGAATTGCACCAACGAGCTTTGAAGTAAATTCAATATTTTTTGAAACTAATAAATAAGTAGATGGATTTACCGCAGTAGAAACCATTACAGATCTTATCATAGCTGCATTAGATCCTGCGGGTAAAGGACATTGTTCACACAGCAGTATAGAATGTTGGAATTCCTTAAGAACTTCATTATCGTGAAAAAACGTTTTAATTCTTGTGGATTGATCGTGTAATCTGCCGTCAATAACGCTCTGTTGTAAATCAAAATAAGTTTTTCGTTCTATTATCGTAGGAATTATATAGGTATCGTGAATGACTTCTTCGACTGACTCTCTTATGTTGTCACTTCTGCGTCCAATTTGATAAATATTCCGCAATTTGTAAATTTTAACATAAGCCCAAACGAAATCTCCCAAGGTTATCTGTTGGATTAAATATTCATCCTTGGGCAATAAATCTGTGATTTTGTCATTATTTGTCTTTTCACGGAAATCTACTAATATTTTAATTTTTTCCTCTATTGGCTCAATTTGAAAACTGTCAACAAGTTTTTTTGTAGTTTTCGAAACGGACTTATCAGATTTTTTCTCTGTTAAATCAGCGTGAAGAATTTCGTTTAATTTATTCAAAAGTATTTTAAGATCATTATAATCAATGTCTTGTTGTTCACATCGTTCCTGAGAAAGTTCAAAAATCAGTTTTTTTACAGTAGCTCCAGAACCTTTGAGTGGAATATCATAATTTTTTTTTGTAATAGTAAGTGGGTAAAGCAATAAACCAGAAGGGGTTAAAAAGGTATTTCTATATCCTCTATGTTTTAAAGTTGAAATAATTTTTTTATAAAGCAGTTCGTTACTTTTATTTCGCATAGAAATTTAATATTCTAAGTAGAGAATCCGATAGTCATAAAAGATGTTAAGAAAGATCAATATATTACCTCTAAGTTTCTTATATCATATTATATAAATCTTATCAACTTAAATAAATATTAGTATTATTTTATTAATATTGAGAAAGAAGAAAATCATTACGTCTAATTTCAATGCAGATAACGAAGTAAATGTCGATTTATTGTAAGTTTTAGAAACACAATATCTATAGTATACGGAGTACCCATTTGTGGGCAACCAGTAAACACATGCATTGGTTTACTTTGTCAAAAATGTAGTGGTAAATGTCCTATATGTGGTTCTTATGTTCATCCAACAACTATTGTGCATATATGCAAAGATTGCAATGAAGCTCTATATGGTGAAAGATGTATTTTATGCGCAAGTTCTGCCAATACGTCTGCTTATTATTGCAAACAATGTACACTTTTGGGTAGAGATAGAGATGGGTGTCCAAGATTATTTTTTCGCAAAGAACTACATTCGAATTACATGACCAACGACAATTTACAATAAAAATAATCTGGTCATTTTTTAACTACGTATTTTCATTTAAAACAACGGTTACCAAATCATAACGACGATATTATTCTAATTATTTGATAAAATTTTAAATGTAAGTGCTAGTTGTGTGTTGTGTTGTGATTAATTTTTCTTCCATGTCTTGTTTCAAGCTCCAGTCTTTGTCAGTTAGGGATTCCAAATAGCATGTAATTTTAGCTCCATAAAAATAATACCAAATCATATTGACAAAAATCGACGAAATGCCAAAAATACAAATAGACACTTGAACTGGCAACACGATCAAATCCACTAATTTTAGCACAACTATTGGCGGCCACTTCAATCCTAAATTTGCAAAAGTATTGAAAAGTGTCATATAACTTCCTCCTATTATCTCATCAGATACGGATGCAAAATAGCTAATAGTAGAGATAAATATTGCATCTTGTGGGATGTTGTTGCAAACATTAGAAATCAAATAGGCAGCCATTTGAATTTTATATGATGTTCTAAAGAAATAAATTACTTGAAATCCTATAATACTTATAAAAGTTGAGATAAGTTTGGATATAAAAGCTATACGCAAAATTTTCATACTAGTCATTTTTACGCCAATTATTTTCGCGAGATAGGAACTCGTAAAAATACTAAGAATGAATGAAAAGAGTACACCAGTTGCTATAATAGAACCTGGCATGCCAATTTCTGTGCATTTTAAAACGTATATTGCATCTAATATGCTCGAACCCAACCGCAGCGTCAAGAGAAATGGAATTGTTGTAGTCATGCATTTTAGTTTTAGTGACTTCAATAGCAGTAAATAAGAAGTTTTCAAGGAGTTTTTATTTTTTCTTCGCTCAGAAATCGTAAGTACCGCAATAAACGTGATTATGATCGTCATAACACTAGCTATATATAATATTATGTCTTGAGTAACTTCAATATTTGGAAAGTACAATTTTATTAATGACGATTTCATTTTTGGATGAAATGACAATAGTGAAAAATTTACGAGATAATATCCAATATTTTGACCAATGGTGTTACAAGTTGCAGCGTGTCTATCATATATTTAACATCAAAAAACTTACTTTTTATACTCTTCTGGAAGCATTTCAATTGACCAGCCGTCAACAGTAATATCTTGTGTTGCCATGAGAAAATATAGAACTGTGTAATAGATTGTCAACATTTTTATGTTTGGTTGCAAACCTAGCTCTCCTGACCACTTTAAAGGCATCTTCGATACAGCTCCAAAATACATCAACAACGCAGCCATTATCTGCACAGAAATAAACCAAGTTTTTCTGCGATAAAATGGTTTGATGTACGTACTGTCAACGATCGGCGCCCATAAAACTTTAAGTGAAAATGGAAGCGAGGTTAATGAAAATATAGAAAGTTCTGAATAGGATACGTCACATTGTTTCATAATTATTATCATTACACTAGAAATTCCGATAGGCACGGCTTGAAGCAAATAAATGATTATTAAAACAACCATTTTGAATGAGATATTACCCTCATGGCTTTTTTTAATTTTTCGTACGATTACCTCCATCGAGCACGCTTTGTAGAATTTTGCATATTTATAATTAACTTTAAAAGTTCTATTTTAGTTATAACTTTTCGATCAAATTTACAATATAGCTGATATAAAATTGTTATTTAATAATATTTGTCAATTTATATAAACTAAATTTACTTAATTATAAAATAAGCGTAAGTTTCTTGTGCAGCCTTGAGCTTAGCATTCTCTGGGTTATGTCCTGACGCCATGGATCTTTGCCAAGTATTACTAGGCTTTTTGTCAAATTTAATAATGTTGGGTAAATTTTGAAATAATTGTTCAAGCTTTTCTTTTCCATAAGCTTCTAAATTGTCATAAGAATTAGAAGCGTTGAGCAGATTATCTTGTATGCTTTTTTCTTTAAACAAATCACTATATTGAAAATAAAAAGGGTGTTGCACATTTTTCATATTCAGATGAAATCCAGGTCCGTAACTTAGTTTCACCAACTCATAAAAATTACCTTCCTCATCGAAAATTTTTTTAATTGACTCAAAGTGTTTCTTTTTTGCTCTTTCTTCCGTTTCTAATATTTTAGATTGATAAGTGATACTAAGGTTATGCAACAGCTCGTCGATTTTAGCAGCTTCTTCAGAATTTTGCTTGTTTATTAGTAGATCAATGTATTCCTCACGGCTTTCAATAAAATCGTTATAAGAAGGCGAGTCGTCAAAACAAGCACGGTCGAAGTTTAGAACATTCATTACCTTTTTCCTAATTCCTAGGGCTCTATTATAAACATTTATTTCACTACTCCATGTTACAAAATTGTCGGCGGAAAAAGTTTCAGAGCACACCAAGCATTTTACAGTAGTATTATTTTTAGTAATTTTATCTTCATTTTGCTGAGAAATAAACGGATACGCGCTAACGACGCAATTTGCACAATATAAATGTCCGCAAACCACTGAACGATATATGATATTATCTGTTTCGTTAATCAAACCATCACAGAGCGGACATTTTGTGATTTTCATCGACTGAAAAAAATACTATTTTAGGCATTTTATAATATTAGTGTAAAATGCTAGAAAATAAACTGGACTAAAAAATGTATACAAATGAATGTTGATCAATTTCAAAACGTGAGAATTTTTGATTGGTCTAAGATAGAAACGCAAAGTTATGTCAAAGACATAAGCTTAGTAGCTCTAGGCCAAAGAGAAATCAAACTAGCTGAAGATGAAATGCCCGGTTTGGCTGCTATTGTCAATGAATACAAAGAAGTTAAACCGTTGAAAAATATTAGAATAAGTGGTTGCTTACATTTGACCATCCAGACTGCAGTTCTTATAAATGTTTTGGTGTCATTAGGAGCCAAAGTTAGATGGTGTTCGTGTAACATGTTAAGCACTCAAGATCATGCTGCAGCTGCTATTTCTACCTTAGACAATGTTACAGTCTTTGCTTGGAAAAATGAAAATAGCTACGAATACTGGTGGTGTGTTTATCAAGCACTGTTCTGGCCTTCTTCAAAACCTAATAGTTTAGAAGGACCAACACTAATTATTGATGATGGCGCCGATATGACATATTTACTGCATAAATTGCTCGTGAAAAAAAAAATAGTAAAAGATATCTCAATCGATCCAAACAATTTTACCGATGATGATGCCTGTGTCATGTTAAGAAAACTTTACAGTGATGATCGAATCACAGATTTATTAAAAAATTTAAAAGGCATATGTGAAGAAACTACTACGGGTATTCAGAGAATAACATCATTATTCAAGTCAAAATTATTGAAATTTCCGGTTATGGATATAAACTCATCCGTTATAAAGTGCAAATTTGATAACGTTTATGGATGTCGACAATCATTAGTAGATAGTATCATGAGGGCAACTGATGTAATGTTAGCGGGTAAATGCGCTCTAATTTGCGGCTATGGAGAAGTAGGCAAAGGTTGTTGTCAGTCATTACGCGGTCTGGGAATGAGAGTATTTGTTTCCGAAATAGATCCCATCTGTGCTTTGCAAGCACAACTTGAAGGTTACGAAGTCGTTAAAATTGAAACAGTGCTTGAAAAATTATCTTTAGTTGTCACTGCTACTGGATGCTGCGACGTAGTTACTATTGAACACATAAAGCAAATGAAAAAAGGCACGATACTATGCAACATTGGTCACTTCAACAATGAAATAAATTTTGAAGGTATAGAAAAAATTGCAAAAAAGACAAATATTAAACCACAAATAGACATGTGGACGTTCTCTAATGGAAACTATATACTTTTGCTAGCTGAAGGTCGGTTAGTAAACCTGGGTTGTGCAACGGGTCATCCTTCGTTTGTAATGAGTTGTTCCTTCAGTGCTCAGGTGGTATCATGTTTAGAAATTCTGAAAAACAATGAAAATTACCAAGAGCCAAAGTTGTATGCTGTTCCGAGAATATACGATGAAAAAATTGCAAAATATCACGTATTGGCTCTCAAAGGGAATATGACAACTTTGACAGAACAACAAAGTAGATATTTAAGCATATCTCGTAACGGTCCATACAAAGCAACCAACTATAAATACTAATTAACACATAACTTTTAAGAGTTGGATTTAAACAACGCTAATATTGTGTTTTCCACAACACAAAAAGGCGGTATTAAAAGATGTTGATTTGACGGATCTACTTCGAAATGCTCTGTAAGCTCCTCCGCAGCGTAGTGGCGCACAGCTAACTTTGCTACGCATGTTGCAGCTGTGTTTAAAATTTCATCGATTTCCGAATTCAACTTGAATTCTTTAGGGGCTTTTATGTTTAAGTCTGAGTTTATTGCCTCGATCACGTTGTTAATTTCTTCGACTACATCCACTGAATGTTGTGCCAAATAACGCCTAGAATATTCTAAATAGCAGCCATATTTAAAAATGTGCTTTTGACATTTTAAAACAAACGAGTAGATACCGTCCAAGCGATCAGTTTTTACTTTATATTTAACCGCTTCGATGTAGTTTAACTGTTGTAAATATAAATTTAAAGACAGCTCTACTAGCTCCATCATATTAGTAGTTTTCTGGATATTTTTATAGATCGTAAACAAGTATTTTTCTAAGTGTTGCAAATAAGCAGCGAGGTCTTTTTTGTTTTTGGTCAACTCGAAATCTTTTTCTGAAACGCGATTTAACGTATCGTGAATTTTATTGATAGCCTCACTGTCATAATTGCAATACTGTTTTTTTTCTCTTTCTTCCAAAGTTGCAGTATCTTTCAATATTATTCTAAACCGTCGAACTAGAGACAAGAAGCTATTTCGTTTTGACTCAAGTAGTTCGACATATTCTACAAGTTTCTTTTGTTCGAGTGGTTGGTATGGCTGGATGGTAAACGTTTTCAATTTGTCTGAAAAATAGTCTTTTTTTTCATTGCTGACATTGAGGTATTTTTTGTATTCTTCAATTGAATTGAACACTTTACCGTTGTCGGAATCAAAGATTATTTCTTTCACAATGTTAACGTTTTTGGGAAGATTAGTAACCACGTTTTTTTTTAACTCTTCTGGGTCTAATAATATTGAGTAGTCATTTTTGTTCATAAATAAGCTGATTACTAATTATATGCAACACTATCGTTGACTTAAATAAATAGGTATTGTTTAAGAACTTAGTTGGTGCATTAAACAAACAAGTGACACCACAAAAAAACTGGTCTGTGTGACCCTACGTTTATCTCTTTTATTCTATCGTATTCGAGTGATTGTAGTTGATGATTTTTGCTCAACACCGTAATAATTCTATCCGACCATGAAGGACAAGTTTCGCGAGAATACTGATTTGTGTTTCGGTTGTATTTATAGTTCGGCCAATACTTGATTGGGGGTTCAATAATTCTAGAGTTCATAACGGAATAATTAAACGTACGTCGATTAAACAAATCAAATGATAAGTATTCTTCAAAATTTTGCTCTTTAAACAACTGTTTCGCTTTTGGTACTGAGAGAGTTACGGGAACGTTCAAGTTTCCCAGTATAAAGTGCGTAGCGTTCTCGTCGAGTTCGTAGTAAGCAAGCAGCCTGTCATATACGTCTTGCTTCTTTTCAAATTCTGTTATTGAATTTGACACGTATAATGACACAAAAACTAGCTCGAACTTGCTGCAAAAAAATCGTATTTCAAGTATGTTGAAGTCATAGGCCTTGCAAAACGTTAGGTTGCTGCTTGCATTTATTTGATAATTGGTAATATCGGAATTATGAACTAATATGATTAACACATTTCCGTCTGATGCGTCAAAAAATTTCAATGAGTGAGATGTACTGAAACACGAGCATACACTATTTACGATTTCCTGAACTTTTGGCAAATAGCTATCTACGTTTTTTTTATGCAGAGACGTGTTTTGGAAATTGAACACATAAAAGTCCATTTCTAACTCAATCAGAGACCAGTGATTAGTAAAACTAGCCAGGAATGTGTCAACACAATCCGTAATGTCAAAAGTGTAAGAAAACAAGTTCAAGTATTGATTATTTTTACCCTCAGCAAATTTAACGTTTTCAGCGCAAGGCGCTGTTAAAGAAAAAAGCACGGAATCTTTAATTTTGTCTTCGAAAGTTTGGTTGTAAATTCTGGTAATACTCCTGGAATAGTGTACGATATTCGTTAAAAGAGAAGATTTCCCAGCTTTGAGCAGCGGCGAAAGAACGCTGCCCGCTCCAGTGTAGCAAATGCTGATTAAATCTCCCATATCAACCCACAATGTAGACAAACAACTTCTCAATATAAACTCGTTTTTGTTTTGTTTTTGCACTTGTGGTTGATTTGTCTGTTTTCTCAAATTAGAAGTGGTATTCAAGTTACAATCGTCTGCTAACTTCCACAAATTAGCGTTCACCTTGTCAATTGAAACGGCTTCGCTCAATACTTTGAAATTGACGTTTTGCAACACGTCAGTGCCTTGGGATCCGAGAATAAAAACGTGGTAGTAAAACGGGTTGATGTAAGTGAAACCTGCAAAAATAGGAAATGGTTTGTGTAGCACAAGCTCTTGGTTATGATCCCATTTTTTTTCTGTACAAGCTTCGTAATTTTCCTGGGCAACCAACATGTCGCGCATTTTGCTATCTAAGAGAGACGATTTAAGTCCGTTATACAAGATCAACTCGGTTTGTCCCTTTGAAAGCAGTAATTTAAACAAAACGTTCTGGACCAAAATCCACTGCATGATGTTCGTACGGTCCAAACAGTCCAGACAGTTAATTCTGTAGAAAATTCTTTGTATCGGCAGCTGATAGGAACAGAAAATATTATCAATGTCGAGCGATTTGCAAATTAAATCTTTAGCTAAAAAAAATTGCAAAGCGCGCTCTAGACCGTAGTCTTCGACGAAATTATGGAAATCCCAGTGTACGTAGCTGACTGGTCCGCTTAGTTCGTCTTTTTTTTGATATATTAAGTTTAAGAATTTAAACGAATCTAGAACATTTAGTCCGCTGGAAATTAACGTCTTAGATCTCCAGTAACTGTCGATAAATTCTTTCGCAACGAGATTGCGGTAATGCAAACTCAACGAGCGTTCCGAAATTTTTTCATGAGAAAGGAGGTCTACAATAATGATGTTGCCGTATTTTTTCCTCAGATCGTCAAAGTGTTTTTTCATTGCGTCCTTGTTGATTTCTTTGTTGTTTTCAATTTGTAAAGTCGTTTTGATGGAAGAACTGGCTTGATTCCAGAAAATAGGCACACTTCCCCGCAAAATAACGTATGAGTACCAACCTTTCATTTGGTTCGAGCCATGATATACAGATTCATAAAACTTATATGTCTCCGGGCCATAGTTTCGAACGCAAAAAACCAACTCAGTTTCGCAAAAATTGGCCACCTGTCCTTGTTTGTTGATTCCACGCGCTTGAAACCTCGAACCGCCGCGGTCTGAAGCTCTTCGCGTAAACAAGTAATACTCCACCAAACGATTCCCCAAATTGACTACAGCCTTAGAAATACTGCCTTGCACTAAAGGACAGAACCAGTAGTGCATGTTATCGCCTGGAATGTTTTTATTCCAAACGAACTCGCGCTTGCAATATTTAAACAAAGGCAACAAAGTAATTTTCTTAGCATCGATGAAGTGTTCATTGTCTTTCAAACTTGCAAATTTGTCATAACTAACGCACAATTCACCTTTGTCTTTAAAGCGTAAAAATTGCTGCTGCAAGTTTGTCGTAAGATCGATATCGTGTGAATAATAAAAACTCATTCTAGTCATCATCCGTTCCACATTTCCCACGGCCTGCTTAATTGTATCTGAAAAAAGGTTATTGTTTTGCATAGCTTCGTTGTTAGTAACACTTCTAAGTCGTAAAAACTCATACATATTCACGTTTAGCGGAATGGCCATAATCTGTGTCAAGGCCATGATTGCTCGTCTCGCATTATAAAACTTCTTGCAGTTTTGCAAAACGTTTTCGAGATTTTCGTCGCTGGCTACCCCCAAAGGACACAAATCGGCCGGAACCAAACTCACGCAATTAGATTTTAATTCTACCAACAGCAATAACTGTTTTTCGTATTCAATTATACCGACGATACAATTAGTCTCGAAACGCAGCGAGTTTTGTAGTTTCGAAACTATTTTCGCGTTAAGTACAACTTCTGATATGGAAAGTTTGTTCAAAGAGGAATATTTAATTTGCAAAGCTCGTGCGCTCTTATTCAATTTTTGCAAGTTCAAATTGTTGTCGTAAACCAAAATGAAATGATCGAAAACGGCAAATTGAAACCGCTTTACTTGATCAACAGACATAGTCAAAAAAGGAATTATACAACTAATAAACTATTGATTCTATCTCTAAGGCATTTTTAGCTAAAAAGCTATTTTGCAACAGTTCAAAATATATAAATAAAATATTGCATGAACTGGCCAGTCGTTTGGCTCATAAACAAAATATTTATGTTCAATTACTTAAATGGTGAAAAAATAAATATTATCATATTTCAATTTGGAATTTCAATTAAGTTGCTGGTCCAAGTATTATCTTCGTAATGGGGGTCTGCAAAGATTTTTATATTCTCTTACAACTAAACGGTTAAGGTGCGTTTAATAAAATTTGAGCTAAACACTTATTGTTTAGGTTTTTGACGACTTTGAAGTTCTATTTTATGCAATGGCCGTCAGTTTTAATGAAAACAGTTTTACACTCCAAACAGACAAGTTTGAACTAAAAGAATCGATCAGTAATTTCGACTTTTACAGAAATTTATCTCAAACCGTACAGACGATAAAAAAACATTTAGAAACATACAAAACTAATGTCATTATCCTGAATTTGTTTCAGAAAATGCATGAAGCTCTTCAGATAGCTTATAGTTTGCACAAAAATCACTGCATTGTCGAACAAATTTACAACGTGCTGTTTTCTTATCTGCTGTTTGTAGAGCAGGAAAATTTAGAAGTCATTTACTGCTTTGCAGACGTAGCCAGTTTACGTGCTCATTTTGTGGAGCTAAGAAGCGTGTTTCAGAGCTATTTGCTGTTCTTAGTTAACTTTATAAAAAAGGCGACTTTGCCTCATGACAGCTCGGCAACAAACAATAGCGATTCATCTAATCTCAAAAAGCTTCTTGATTACCCAATCAAGGTACAAGTATTCATGTTAAACAAGTGCAAGTACTGTCAAGAAGGACGTTACAACATGCAGTTTCAAATCAGTGAAAACGTGACTCATTACGAGTTCAATTTTTCACGGCATAAAAATAAAGCTAACAAGCCAGAACTTAAAGTTCTGCCACAAGCAGTGAAGAATATATTACCTCCTAACTTTAAGCGGCATGCATTACTTGAAAAAAACACTTTGGCCGCTTTTCAAGTGGTGTTGGCAGACGTTGAACTTGTAAAGAAAAAAAACGATACAGCAATAAAAAAACGTAATTTACATCTTTCAATATTTAATAATGTTAACTTAGCCAACCTGATGGCATGGTTGTCATTTAATTCCGGCGTGTTCAACGGCGTTCTTCCCGATTTGGCGCTGCTTTATAACCCTCTGAAGCAGAAGAATATAATAGCTGAGCTTCTTGATTGGATCAACTACTTGAATTGGAAAGAAGATTACGAAATCAACGATTTTAACTTTGAATGGATTGAAAACGCGTACATCGAGTTAAAACAGCCATCGTATACGTACTACAAGTCGCTAGAAACGTTAGGTTTCAAGCTGCCAAACTTATAGAGGGTCGTACACACGACGTCGCCACCAATCAGGTATCCTGAAGACGTTCCATATGCTTCTTTCCACGTACTCGAGGAAAGTTCTTTGCTTCGGTTTGACTGAAATACACACTTCTGAACAACCTTTTTGGCGGTACCGAGACAACAATTTTTTTAGCACTCCAAAAGCTACAAAAATAAAAAATAACAAAACTACAGCAAGTCCAAACCGTTTAGTTATTCGCAGTAATAGTGATCTCTTAGCTATTTGTCCTATTTCCGATTTGGATTTGTCTCTCCATTCTAGCTTGTTGAAGCCGTCGCCCAAATCATTGTCAACATAGTGCACTCTCCTTATCACGAGTTTAGGAAACGGGAGTTTAAAGCCCTGAAAAATAGAATTAGGAAACATTCCGCTGTCGATCTTGGGGAACGGCATGAAAGTGAAATTCCTGAGTCCGGTGGACATGCGTAAATTTTCTCTCGTATTGTTTAATTTGTATAAAGGTTCTATGTGTGGTTCTTTCAATTCTTCTTCAACAACATTTAGAGTGTTTTTGATCAGCTGGTGCAGCAAATAGTCTGTATCGTGCAGATACGAGTCACGTTTATCGAAATCAGTCATTAATCTTTTTGATAACCGAACGAACGAAGCAATCTACTATATTAGATTTTTTATTTGTTATATTAATTGCTTTAAATACAAATTTTTGAATTCATATAATCCAGTACTACCCGCGATAAATGTTTAAAACAGTGTAAAGATTGCGGTAAACTTCGTACGCCTGAGAAGGCCTTTTGCAGCCAGTAATTAAAAAACGACCACTGACATAGATCAAAATTGTCGCTTTGAACTCGCTCGAAATGTGGTATCGGTACACAAGCCCGCAGTAAATTTCAGGCTCGTAGTGGCAGTAACGATTGTGGTCTATCGCTAACTTTTCCAGTCGAATCGGAAAACCACAGTTAGCAGAAAATGATAAACAGTCTATTTTGAGGTCTTCACAACGCGCGTTTTCATGTCCACACGTCTTAACGAGCTTTGTGATGTACTTCGAATAGTATTTGATGTTTTCAGTAGTTATGTTTCCACACAGACTAACTCGCCCACAACCAAAAATCGTCGCGGAAAGTTTCGGCTGCACAAATCTTATCGTCGCTGCGTTCAGCTTTCTCGGGTTGTACTCCACGTTACGCGCGTTTATTGTCAGTTCTCGCAGATTCACGAAACATCCAAGCGAAAACGACGCTATGGTGTTGACGAGCACAAGCATAGGCAGGTAGAGGTTGATGTTCGCTTTATAGTTGGTTTTCTCGATGAGTTCTTTCTGTTCAGCCGCTATTTTGCATTTTTGTTCATCGTCGTCCACACAGTTTAGCAGCTGGCTTTCAACAACAAGTTTTTCTTCGGTACTATTTAATTCATCGTCAAATAAGCTGTCAAAATTCATTAACTGTTCATTTACTATTACAACCTGTAGTTGAAAATTTTATATATGCTTTTTTTTTTGCTTTAAAATTTTTGGTTTCTCTCAATCAAAAATATATTTGAACCGACTCAATTAAATTTTTTTACCGAAACCCACTTTGAAAAACGGTCGTACAAAAAGTCATAGGTTTCATTAATTTTATATAAAAATAATTATCATAACGTTTTATGTAGCATAAAAACAAAACTTAGCTTCTGAAACTGGTCAAAAAATGATGTTTTTTCAAGTAACACGAACTATATGAATTATGCGTCAAATCAAACGCTTAGATTGTTTATATATCACTATACGCGTTAACATCACATTAGGCTTTTGTTCTTAAAATAATCAATAATATCTGGATCGATTGTACGTATTAATAGGGCTTGCACAAGTCGTTGGCTCCGAGTACATGAGATCTATCTTGGACTGCTTTTTACGATCCAAAGAGGAAAGCAATAATTCTATGTACTCCGATTTTTCGCTTTTCTTGACTAAATCTAAAGCGTTTTCGTTGTTGTTATTGTATACGTAAGGGTCGCTGCCCAATCGGATTAAATAGTCTACAGCTTCCCAAAACCTATACTTAACCGCGAGATTTAGGATTGTGTCGCCAATTTGGTTCAGTCCACAGTTCAAAAGCAGCGTAATAAGAGCTTCTGAGTCGATCTGTTTTCCGTACTCTAAAAGCAATTTGATTGAATTAAGCTTGTGTTCTTTTAACAAAATGTTAATTATGTTATCTTCACTTCGACGCAGCAGTACCAGCGAATATTCTAGCGAATCTATTTTTTTAACAGCCATGAACACGTCTGTTTCACTGATCTCACCTGATTCAAACTGTAAAAGAGTCTCCAACAACACATTTTGCTTATTGATAAAAAGCTTTAAATTTTTTTCAATTATTTTTGTTGGTGTCAAATAGGTTTTTGTTTTGAAAACTTTAGAGGTGTATTTCTTACGTGAAGGTTTTAGCTTTTTAAAAACTGAGAAAGAACCAATTTTGTTAGAAATGCGGAATAAGTAATAGTCTACATACGCCAACCATATCGCCAGCCTAGAAATTTGTTTCATTTGCAAAACACATTATGTATCTATATTGATATAATCGAACAGAAACATATTAGAGAATAAGTGTGCACCTAACAGTTAACATGATTGTAAAACTTAGAAAGTCGGAACTGATGTTTAATAGCTGCTTTCATTACAGAGAGTGTATAATCACGAATTTATATAGTCTTTTTGTTTTAAAAATATAGTTTTTTTAAAAGTTATTTATCCCATAAAATATAGCAAAGATCAAAAACTTGTTTACAAGAGATTATCGTTATCGAACAAAGATTGTACGTGATTCAATTGATATCAATAATTCATAAGAGATGCAGTTATGAATATTATAGAAAAAAGATCAGCGAATGTCTCACAAAATAATAATCTTCGTTATATGCACAAAACATGTATCTATATACTTCTTCAATACATTTATGCGGTAAATATTAATTCTATGTGATAAATAAATAATAAAATTTAACAAATCTAATAATCTAAAACTACTGTAACTACAAAAGACTAATTAATGAAACTCAGTTTTACATGATTTATTTATAAAACAGTCGACTCATGATATAGAATAAACCTTGAAAGTATAACGCTTACTTTGATAATGTAATGGCAAGGTTAAATTAATAAGGAGCTGCGTAAGAACGCATAGGGGGACAATATCCTGGACCATTTATATTTGGAGGATGATAAGAAAAGTTAGATCCTGATCCTGAGCCCGAGTTTTTGAGCAAATGTGCTACGTAAGATTCCTCGTTTTGCTTAATAGCAACCTTTAATCTTTTACTTCCGGTTGAAAAACCGTGCATAGCTTTAACAGCGTTGACGGCAGACTGGATGTCAGTATAACTAACAAAAGCGTATCCACGATTTCGGCCAGTGGAACGATCAGTAGCTATTGTAGCGCTAATGATGGTTCCGTACTTTCTAAAGTAATAGACCAACTCGCGAAGAGACCACTCGCTGGGGACGTGAAACACGAACAAGTTAGCTCCTGGAGGGCCAGGGGTGTCAAAGTTCAATGGTTTCTCCCACTGACTGACGTTCAGAGTGGAGTTTTGATAAAACGGACGGCCTTCTTCAGTAAAGTATTCAAACCAGCCATCGCGTTCTCTGGGTTGGGCGTTCACGTCCGCAGAGGAAACTAAAATGGCTCCAAAGTTTTCATGTCGCATCTGAGGATGAGAGTAATTGAAATTGTTGGACTGTGGGTAGTTCGTATAGTCCTGAGGAGGTGCGTTGTTATAAAAGAAATTGACTCGATTATTGTTATTATTGTAAGGTTCTCCTTGGTTGAATCCTGCTTGGTTTTGTGCTGACTTAGATTTGACGTCGGCGAAACGAATCTCCAACGGACGCAGCGCAGAAAGTTGCTCTGACCCGTTAAGGCACTTGATTGCGTAAATTGCTGCTTCTTTAGTAGCGAGAACCACGAACGCACAGCCCCTTGAGGCACCTGTTCCAGCTTCTCGGATCACGTAAACATCTTCAACAGGGCAAACAGTGCTAAACAATCCCATAATCTGTTCTTCGTCGGCTTGACGGCTCAGCGAACCGATAAACAATCGAGTTTGGTTGACACCAGGAACTGCATTTTCGACAGAGACTCCCAGTTTTTCAAGTTCAGCTACTGCATAGCGAATTTGAATAGGTCCAAGACTTTCGTCCAAAACTTTTATTCCAGACATTGCTGCGATGGCATTATCTGCCGAAGTCAAGCTTTTCATTTTAACGAAAGCACTACCTTTCTGGTCATTGACCGCTCTATCCTTCAAAATAACTGCTTCTTCAACAGGACCATATTCTTCAAATATCGACTTAAGTTCATTTACTCCCATAGATTTCGGTATGCATTGTACAAGTAAACGGATAGGTAACTTAGGTATAACTAATGAAGAAGCACTATTATAGGTATATGATCTAGGTAATACGTGCTCGACGTTATTATAAAAATTATCGTGTTCATCCAAGACAGCTTCCGGAGTTTTAGACTCTGAAACGTTGTCGAAGGAAGATTTATCTAAATTATTCAAGTTTAAATCATTTTTGCACTGCTCCGCAGTTGGGTCTTCATTGAAAACATTAGAATCCGCATCACCGACTTCGTCGTCCGGCAAAGACTTGCTTGGATGTTCCGGCTCATCCGGTTCATCCGGCTCTGAAGCAAATAAATCGATTTCATTTATCTTCTCCTCCATCATAGATGCGTTTTCAGCTTCATGATCGGAAGATTCGTTATCACTTTGTGAATTAGAATTGGATATTTCACATACGTTATCAAAAGGAGAAGCGTCTGTTGTACAAGAAGTCATTATTGCCAATACTACTTAAAATCAAGAATACTAATATATTACGCAGTCGTAAAAGTTATTAAATTATCCACTCAATTCAATATTCTGCACGTGTCTATTTTAAAAATTAAAATTTATTAATACCCAATTAACTTTTAAAAAAAAAAATAATTAATAATAAATAAAATACGTGTGTTCAACACCTAAAACTTTTTTAAAACTACATATTTTTTTGTGGATGAATTTTAATTTTTTACGCTTTACAGTCCATTCACGCGGTAGAAAACTATTAACTAATTCTCCATAGAATGTTTGCTACATTTTAAATATTCCTTGCGTTAAAATTATTGCTCTGCGCAATTTTAGTAAATACTTTCTTCAATTAGTGCTTTTATGTCAATCGGATCGACAGTGGTGAATTTCCCGTCGCGACAGATACCGATTTCAATGTTGTTTTCATTTACCTGCGATTCTGCAGCTTCTTTCATTGTTAACACAATAGCAGAAATCGCGTCGTCGATGCTCATGTCTTCTTTATATCTTATTTGTAGTAACGATTCTATATGTTCTGAGTTTTTTCCAATCGCTGTCACTTTCCACGGAAAGCAAATTCCACTGGGGTCTACTTGATAAAAGCTGTATTCCCCGTGGTCATAACCACATAAGAGCAGTGAGCATCCAAATGGCCGAACACCACCGGACTGAGTAAACTCCTGCATTATCAACATTAGTTTTCTAGCTAGCTCGCTAACTGGAATGGGTACGGCGTAATTTAAAAAGTAATATTCGCAAATTAGCTTGGTCCTGTTGACGAGCACCCGGAAATCAGCTGGCATCCCAGAAAACGTCATGCCTATATGATCTGAAAGCATGACTATTTTGTGGAAACAGTCGCCAACCATCAAAATGTCATTTATCTTTTTTTCAGCACATAAAACAACACCTTCGTTGCATCGTAACCCCAAAGCGATTTTACCTTGCAGCTTAACTGCATTCATGGCGTACTCAATTTGCAGTAGTTTCCCTGAAGGGGAAAAAGTAGTTAGACTAAATGAATAAGCACCGGACATGCGTGGCTGATACTACTTAGCACTAAGCGAATCCCTTATCGATAAAAGGAGAATATATTTTCAAAAATTGCGATCAATGAAATAATGATGCATTTAATTTATTTTTCCAACTTTTTTATATTTAAGTTCTGAGGAAGTCAATTTTTTACACGAGCCAAGCTATTAAGCCTGGTATCGAACAAATCCAGTCTTGGTGCATTAATTTCTTTAATATCTTTGGATATCTAGACAATATATCTGTTTCTGATATGGAGGTTTTTTTTAAGTTGGATCCGCTACAATTTTACGGTTTACTTTTTTATTCACGTTAGGCATGCCCATTCTTTTTGCAAGCTCAAATGGCACCAGAATTTTTTATAAACTCGCTTTAGTCGCTTTATACAAAAACTAAAGAAAGTTAGCTCAATACGATTTTGATTGCCTTCTTCCTACATGTTCTTTCGCAGCAATAACAAGGCGAAAGCCAGCTTGAATAATAACTACGGATTGGATGTCGCCGGATTGACCAATGCCTTGGACAACAATAAACTTTTGGAGTTTATAGACAACAAGAATGCTGACATTTCTGCAGTAATCGGCAAAGCAAGTTCACAGGAAAAGTCATCAGAAACTGCTAAAAAGTCTCCAATTTACAAGGCAGCAGGAGAAGAACTACATAATATGACTGCCAGAGCGATTCCAGAAAAAATTATCGACAGTGGGCCGTTTGGTATTGGAGAGGCCAAAGCTAATTTAGATGATTTAAAAGTTAGGCTGTTGTCTATATTTGGTTCGAAAATGGACATTGACAATAACACAAATTTAAACATCATTCTCGACCAGCTTGCAACTAGTCATGACAACATAGCAGAAGAACGCGCCGCACATCTTATTAATCAGCAAAACGAAACAGTCCCGGCCCCGCAAGAAACAGCCGTAAGGTCTCGAGTTCTTAATTTCGATAAAACACGAAACGATTCCGAAAAGAAAAACTCAGCTGACGACAAAGCAAATTTTCGGCCAGCACAACAGGCATCAATTAACCCAATGAATAAACCAAAACTAACTGATACTTTATTCAAGGAAGGCGGGGTTCAAGAAATACAAATAACAAATCTTAATCAGGTGTCTCGCAACATTAAATCTGTGTTGGATGAACTTTTTGATTTGAGCAATTCAAACACAGGCAGGCTCGACAGAATCGAACAAGAACTCGATTTTGAAACGCAAAATCCGCAATCTTCTGTGTTCGATTTGTCTCTGTGTAAAAATAATGAAGCAGCTAACTCGATTGGTTCCAAACGGTTAAGCAGAATTTACATTAACGAACTAGAAGATTATCTCAATAATATGTATAAGAATTTATACATTTCTACCCAAGCGAACAATGAAAAAATTACTTCTTTACAAGAAAAAATTAAAATGTTAGAAACATATGCGAAGTGTAGAGATATAGATCTAATGGGAAAGTTTATTTAAGAAGATTTAGCCGAACATAATTACCGCTGGGACGTCTTATTTTTTTTAGATGATTTTGGCACGTAGCTAAGTCTTGTAGAAAGAGAAACAGCAAAATTGATTAACTGGTCTTCGATACTGGACTTATTTTTTTTTTCTCTTTTCATGTCAAAAAAAGTTTTTTTGACAACATCGAAAAGAATGCATATAACCCTTTTATAAGTGTCGAAGTCTTGGCTGTTTGCGATATCGGTAAACTCAATAAAAAGTTTAGAGAAAATGTCGTATGTCAGTAAAAAATTTTTATTTTCTTCGCTGTTTATTTCGTCAGGTGACTGAACTTTAGCATTAACCTGATTGGGTTCTGTTTCGGCTTGTGGCATTGATTTTTCAGCGTAGCTTTTAGCCGTTACAGATTGCTTTTTTAATGAAAATCTACCAGCAAAATCTGGTAAACTCACAAATCCACGTGCAGAAGATTTAATGGAAGCCTCAAACGCGTTGTTAACTGACTCGTCGATAACTTCTCTGACAGAACTGTTGATAAGGCTGCCAATTGAATCAAACAAACCTTCTCGAAATGACAATAAGTATTGGTCAAGTTTTTTCTCTAGCAGCGGATATTGTATTTGCGAAATAGACTCTTCATGTCTACAAAATTTACCTGTCTGAAGCTCTGCTTTACAATCAATTGATTCGTTATTTATGCATTTTTCTAAGAATTTGTTTTCGCAACTTTTACGCGCCAATCCATTGCTCGTTACATCAGAATTAAACATTTGTACGTTGGAAATTTGCGTTGAGTTGATTTCATTTTCCAGCGAACTACTTTTTACTAAATGTAAATTTTGTTCGTGAGGCAAATCAAAATTATAACTGTTTTTATTTTGCAAGTTAATATTGCAAAAGTTATCTTGAAGTCCTAGACTGTTTCCAGTCAATAATTCACATTCTTTATATACGCGATTCCTTGTGTATTGAGACATGTATGATGTTGTTGTTTCAAGATCATTGTTCCCTAAATTACTCAGACTAGACTCAGTTTTAAAACTGTCGTTCAAAACAAGATTTGACGGTAAATTCGTATCGTTGCTTTTTTTATTTTGGTCTCGTTCATTCGAGGTGGAACTTGCTGTTTTCGATAAATTTTCAATTTGCGTAAGGTTTACGAATTTAGCTATTGTTTCAAGCTGTTGTTCTTCGTCACTAACATCAGGACAATAGAGCTCAACGAATCTCATGTATATTTTGGGTTTTTCGTTCATAACTTGCATCAGTACGGAAATGAGTTCTTTTTTCATACAGCCTCTCCTAGCGTGAGCTCGTACAGAGGATATTTTTTTGAACAGTTTTTCGTTTTTGCAAACACCGCAGATATACAGAATTCCATGTTCTGGATCTACAACAGGTATATACGAAAATCCGTCGTTGTCGCGTTTCAGTGCTAATTTCCGCATGTGTGGTTTAAACACAAGTTGATTACTATGTTTTCCCCCCATAGCAGAAGTGTAGTAAGGTCTGATTTCGCTAGGTTGAGGAGCGAACAAGTACGGATTGGGCTGAGACAACGGCTGTTGCCAAACCATTGAATTGTTATTGGTCCACATCGCGTTATATATACATATTATTATGGAACACCATTTGCAAAAATTGTGTAAAATTCGGAAAACCTCTTTGTCTGTTATTTAAATTTAAGAAATTAAGCTATAAAGCTCCGTAAATTAACGCAAACCATTTGGTTAAAATTTAATGAAGCAACGCTGTTAATAATAAATAATGATGCTTGGGTTGTATTTTTATTATTAATTAACTTATTAATGACAGATTATTTATTAGCAGAGTATTTGGCAGAAATTAATGAGTTTGAATCGTTAACTAAAGAATACAACGAGTTGATATCAGTAAGTGAGTGTCGTTTTAGCATTGTAGGAATTTGATGAAAAAGAAAATGATGAAGCCAAATCGATTTCCAAAGATTTATCGATGTTAGGAGGCGAATGTCAGCAAGTCGTAGAGAAGCTGTCTAAGCTGACACAGGGTTTTAACGACTTACAGATCGAGCACAACAATTTGGATGCCACGTTTATTCAATACAAAAGAAGCAAGAAGAAAGCAATACACGAATCGATCGATATTTTTTGTTCTGGGCCTGCTGACAATGCATTTGAGAAGGTGGAGATGTCGGAAACTGCTTTGCTGCAAGCAGCAGAAGAGCTCAGTTCTGGGAATCTTCCAGAAACGCAAAGCAAGTTATCTCAAACGTACGCGCTCTTGTTTAGTACGAACCTGGTAAACAGCTGCAGTGACGTACAGGCCCTGGCGCCAGCGAGCCCGTAATTAAAATATTATAATATCGGATGAATATTTATATCTATTATAATTTTAAGCGAAATTCAATTTAATAATAACATGTCTCGCGATGCGATTATTAGATCCAAGCACATACAGGAGTTACTTCGAGCTAGGAATCCACAAGTATAAATTTGACAGTGATCCGGAGAAATTAGAGCTACTCAACAAACTGTACGAGCTGCAATCTAGCCACGATGAGTTGTATCGAGAATACAACTCTAAACTTTTAGAGTTGGCAAATGAGTACGCTCCAAAGTTTAAGTCTGTTTACATGGAGCGTTACAACACTATCAAGAACAACCCGGAGCTCAAAAGTTTTTGGCTGCAAGCGATGAAGAACTACCGCACGATTCAAGCCAGCATCGAACCGTGGGACGAGCCTGTTTTAGCGAATTTGTGTGATATTCGGGCCGAATACCTCAATCCCAAAGAGCAAAAGTCGTTCAGGCTAGATTTTGTTTTTTCAGATGACAATACTTTTTTTTTGAACAAAGTCCTCTCGAAGGAATTTTTAATGGAGCTAGATCACACGACCGGTAACTGGCTGCTGGTCAAAACCATCGGCACAGAAATCATTTGGAAAGACGGTTTCGACGTCGTAAACGTCTACGAAACGAAAAAACAGCGCAACAAAACCACGAAACAAGTTGCCACAGTCAAAATGCGAAAGTCTCGACCGTCGTTTTTCAACTTTTTCCAGTCTAGGCAGTTCGTCGATTCGAGCGAATTTAGTTTTTTCAGTGAAGACGAGATACAAAAATTAGAAAATTATTTTAGCGTCGAGTTAGAGTTAGCGCAAATTTTTAAAGACCGATTGATTCCCAAAGCGTTAGGCTGGTTTTTATACATTGAATTCGACTCCGAAGAAGAGTTTGACGACGCCGACTGATGTTTCATGCGCCGTTCTACCTACAGAAGGCGTGCAAACACCGACAAAAAACGCCAACCTGTGGAAAATTTTAACACACAACGTAATTGTATAAATTAATTATGAATATTTTTATAAAATTCGCTTCGAAAAAATTTTTTAATAAGTGAGCAGCTTCAGGTCAATAAAGGAGATGCGTTCCGTTTACTTCTACAACACTATATTTACAAACTCGACGAACAACAGCTTAACCAAAACCAATTTATTTCGAGTTTTGGTCTCTTGCTTAGGTACAATTCAGCTAGAACTGACTTTGGATGAAAATAACGAAATAATTAATATT